TGAATACCCTGATTCTGGTTCAGAAAGCAATGCAGTTATCTCATCTTCTTCTTCCTTTTTTTCACCTGTTGATTCTGGACTCAATGCCAACGCAGCTACTATGTACACAACAGACTCATACAATTCTACATGTTGAGATATATCCAAAACTGCAACGAACCAAAAAACTATGATGTTGAAATTCCTCAAAAATGAGACCAAAGAAATGAGAAATATTGACCGAAAACTGCATAAGAATAAGACTACCAGATCATTTATTACAAAAAATTGAATTATGTGAAACGAGGCAAACCGGAATCATTCCTAAGATATGCCCAAATAGCTGGCAATAAACAGGAGCGAGATAGCATTTTAACTACAACTGAACTTAAGGACCATTTCACACTTGATGAAATGGCTGAAGGAATTGATTCATGACCCGAAGAAGGTCCTGGCGTCGATGAATCTAAAAACGAATCGCCGTTAAACTTAACAGAAATAACTTTTAGTTACGACAAAGGATAAAGATGTAGGCAACAGAAGCTGAAAACAAGTGAAATCTCCGGAGTAAAGTCATGAAACAATTAAAGTGCTACCTGACACAGATATTGGTGATATACTTTGGCTTCTGCTATGTACTTCAGTATCTTCTGAATCCATAGATGCCAGTGGAGCAACTGTGTTACCTCCCTTGATATCAGTTGTCCGATTCTTTTCCGTTTCCAAATACTCGTTAATTTTAGGATATATAAAGCTTGAAAGTACCTATAATTTGTATTGATAAATACAATTTGCACTGATAAAAGATAGAATTATAAAATTTTACAGGAAGAAAAATCAAATAACAAAGAAAAATCTTAATTCTTCGTAATATCTCTGAAAGCATAATGCCAAAGAACAGTAAAATGAGTATAAGTCTCTTATCGTATGATTGTTGCTTAGCAAATTGTATATCTGACTAGAGTGATAAAACTAATATTTAATCGCATCACCGAAAAGCAAGTTCTACAGCTTTATACATTTAAAAAAAGTCAAAGGAAAAAAAGAACCACAAAAAGGAAGAAAAACAAGATAAGTAAAAAATTCACTCTCACAAATCTTCACCAAAGAAACAAAACATACTCTCAACAGATGAGTTACATTTTGTTCGTCCTGTTTTCGCTTTAGGACATGCAAATCAACATTCCATTGTTGTTGCGTAGTTCCACTGCCAAAACCAGTACCTTTGGCCCAAAAACCGTGTGGATGAGTAACATTTGAAGCAGAGCTCACTGCTGGTCCAACATTTCCAGAACTATTCATACGTTCTTCTGCCGCAAATCCAAGGTTGACACCTTCAACCGATGACTGCTCCTGTCCTATCGAGCCTCGCAACAAGCGTTCGACCAAAACAGCCTGCACAAGAATTGTATACAAAGAGTTAACAATGAATAACGTATATTTTGCATAAAAATGTGCTTACCGTCTCAGGAGCTGGAGGAATAGATGAGGGCCGAATGGGTCTTTCTTTATGTTTTTGATGGGTATAATGAGCCAAACAATCTAACAAAACGTCCAAAACGCCATTGGTTACTGCAGCTTCCCGTAAAGATCTGTAGCACATAAATGATAAAATATCCACTTTTTAAACACCTCATATTGTTTGTGTTTTTCATTACGTCTTTAATGGTTGTAATAAACAATTTCAGAAAATTACTTCAAATATGAAAATTATTAAAACATTAAATGATAACGATAATGATATTGTTCTAATTCAAAGACACAACTTTGTTTATTAACCGGTATGAAGTGTCCAGCAGTGTCGTGGTGGTAACATTTTTCCTTCCTTATTTTTCAGTTCCTTTCCTTCCTTTCATCTTTCTATTACTTAGCTCCTTCTCTTTCATTAATTTAATAATGAATATTTCACCAGCTTCCAGAAACTGGGATAGGATTCGAATGTCCCAAATCCTGAGAGCCGGTCAAATATTGTTTGAGGTCCTAAATTCCCCGTTTCAAAGATAAGTGCCTACCACCTAAAAGTAAAGATCGAAAGAGAAGAGGTAAAGGAAATGAATCATAGTTACTTATCACATATTGTACTTGAGTTTTTCCTCGAAAACCAAAAAACCTGGTCCGAAACAACACGAACGTAGGAATGTTGAGTATTTCATTTCGTGTCTTCTTGTTTCTTTAATAATAATAGTAATAACATGATGCAGCGTAACTTACTTCCCGGCAGCTGTAGAGGGTAAATATTTATTGAATAATTCTTCTAGAACAACAAATGGCAATAAACCAAGATTTTCGCATTCTGACTTCTGCTTTGATTGGAGCTGTGACTGAGTAGCTCTGTGAAATACACCTGGTTTCAACATTTGCGGCTTGTTTACAAGCGATGCTGTAACTTAGAAAAATAATATGCGATAAAACAAATTGTAACAAAGTATAGCTTCGCAAAAAGCTATTTTGTCATTCCAAATTTCATGTTTGTTTTCTGCACTTGAAAATATGAACAACAGTTTTATTACTGGTGATAGTGCAGAATTCCAGGATTTTATATGGTTGTATGCAATTTAAAAGGCTTAGAATAAATTTTAGAAAATATTGTTCTTCTAGACCGGGTAAAATTTTAAAATGAGGCACTACAAGAAATGGGACCAATTCCAACCGCAAGGTAAATATATTAATTATAGGAAAAATTTTAGTTCAGAAAAAAGGATATTACTTTCAGTAGTGATTACGCCCATTGCAAGCCGTAGAAGACCTTTCGCACGTTTGCGGTCGTATGTTACCAATAATTCGGCATATCCTTCCAGTCTTAAGAATAAACTGAAAGCGACGACCACATGTGGCGACAGAGCTTGATTCGACGGCTGTGAACCGATCTTTTGTAGTTTTTTAGGCTGAACAGAACTTATCAGCATTAGTACAAATCCTCATTTCTGTCGCACACCAACAATCTACATTTTAAAAGACTTCAGCCAAGCGTAAGCACAATTAAAGACCTACAAGAAATTCAATGCTGAAAATGAGAACTGACCGCTACATAACTTCCTGAATTATCAGTTTGAGAGAATAAGGGATAATGTGTCCATCCTTTCACTTCTCCTGGAGCAGCTGAATCAATATATTCGAAGTCCTCGTAGCCAGGACCGAGATCGGTTTCACTACTAAAAACGGGTACATACAAGGTACTGTATAGTGGTTCCCCCACAGATAGATCAGGCGAAGAGAAAATTGATGTTGGACAGGTATAACTGGATGGTAATATTTCGTTCATAGCGACCGTTTCTGATGAATCTACCAACCATTGTTGATCAGCTGATTTTCCTTTTGAGTCCCTAAAACAACTCCATTATTTACATTATTATTTCTTATAACATCTTAGTCATAGTAACAAACAATATTAAACTAAAAACAATGAAAAAAACGAAATGTACAAGAAAAATGGCGATAAAGAAAAACCATCAAAATATTTTTTCACTTCGAGTTCTTACCTTTTTTTCACTCTTCCTGCTCCTTCCACAAATTTATACCGCTTTTATTGAAATTTTAACCTCATTTTCTCATTTTATGTAGAGGGACAGTTCATAATGCTACTCAAGAACATAAAAGTGAATTAAACTTAATTAAGAATAATGATTTTCGAATATCCATTCTTTTTATTTTAACACATTGTCACATATGCAGCAATGCATGGAAGTCTAAGGAATAGCTTCAGCATTCCATTCCAGTAATTGAAATGTAAGGCCTTACAAAAGCTATAAGTTTCAACCAGTGAAAGGACATGAAGCAGAGAATATCATTGAATAACTGGGAACTCCTAACTATATAACTTTGGTCCATCTCTAATCTTTCATTCACAAAATATAAAAAAAAAGATACAGAACCTGAATGAAGAAATAATGGTTGGAGCGTTAAATGATGGATGATGTAGTTGCAAATGCAGCGCTAAAAGTGCGAGACCACTAGCACGTGCAAAGTACTGCAAGGTTGATGTCTGTTCCGTGAGTGTTACATCTGGCTTATGACATCGCACGGCACTAGTACTTCCTGTTAAACCTGGAACAACTGTCAACTTCATCTTTCATTCAAAGAACCATGTATTAATCGCTAACGATTAATGATTATATGACCGTTACTTTTTGAAAAGTGTGCCGTCAAAATAATTCGATATTTAATAAATTATGCTAAACTTGAAATGCAGCATTTTAAGTAGCTAAAAACATCACTCATTATTCTTTTTTTTTTAATCTATCCGTTAATCACAATGTCGACGGAGTGAATTACCCAACCAACAAACATCTGAAAATAGACCTGGGCGCTGAATATACGAAAGAGCAACGGTGTAATAACCATCAGCACTATCTTCAACTGCTACTTTTGCTGTATTGCCATCGACTATTTTTTGCTTCCTGTAAAACACATGACTTGAAAAAACGAATGATTTAGAAAAGCAAAAACCAGAAATGAAATACTGAAAAGCGCCGGGAAAAAAACAACAAATGCTACAAATTTGTTTCAAAACTGATCGTTACTATCTGAATTTTCTCATGTGCCGCAAAGTATACCAAATTCATTCACATTTACATAATTTAATATTTAAAAATTTATATGTTCTACTATACAAGATATTACTACTGTTCTCACTTTCAAATTAAATTAAAATTTAATCAACTGAAAGAATGCACATACCATATCATATTAAGAATATTTTACCAGAAATACGAACCGTTTGTTTATCATGGATTATAGTAGAAAAAAAATTATGATTAAATAACCTACCAAGCCGAAGACGTTAAACGTCCGGAAACAAATAAATCTCCTAGCAACTGCCCAATTTTCCAATCACCCATCATCTCGGCCAAACCATCACAACTTCGAATCATTAAACGTGAAGAAGTAAATGAGGGAAGAGCTGTTGTCAAATCTGAATGAAAAAATCTGCATTCATTCGATATACAATGAACTCTAAACCATTAATAAATTCCTTAAAAATCATACTTTGACTGTTAAAAATAGACGAGAAATGCTGCAGTTCATCCAGTGGTGCCTGAAAAATTATGAATTTGATAATTTTTATATGGATTTTTTACTGGAATATTTTTTAGAAAAATAGCAAGAGAAACTCTATCAGCAATTAATTACACAATAAATATAGTGCGGTTCTTTATTCTAATGCACGCAGGAGGCATTTGAAGTGAAACAGATTAATAATGAAGAAGGTGGAAAGGATTAAAGGATTCCTTCATTCGATGAATAATTTGTTTAACTTATTCATGAGCTGCACAAAAATCTGTAACAGTGTTAATTTCACTTGTCTATTATCAACCCAAGAATTTGCAGGAGCAAATTCTAAAGCAGGAGCCGATTACAATAGATACATGAATTTCAGAAAAAAGTAACACTTACAGCAATTTTTGCCAACTGCCGAAAGTCGCTTGTATTTTTATGCTCGCATAAAGCAGAAATCTCATCCATGGAGGTATATAAAGACACTTTTAAAAAACGTTCCCTACGTGTACAGCCAAAAAATGGATGCAAAATACGATCTGCAATAGAAACAATTTGTATGCAATATTTCAAAAGGAAAATTAATCTTTCTTATTGTTTAGTATCTCTATAAAAAATACGAGGTGAAAAAAGTGATAAAAGAAACTTGGGATATCAAACGACAGGAAACAAATTGAAGTGTCTTCATCAACTGCCTTCACAGGAATCATCTCGTCGTCGAAAATGCACTTCAATACCATTTGTTGAATTGCACCATTGAAACTACCGGCACTTTTTAAGAGGGAACATAAAACGTGAGCTATGCGTTGACGATGTGAGCCGCCAACAGTAACACACCTGAAACGTTTTTTTTTTAGTTCTACAAATAAAATAGCTCCGCGGGGTTTAAAAATTCCTAAGTTGTGTAACTTCATTTCATGATTTAATTTATCGAATCCATATTTATAACAATCCTAGCATTTATTTCCTTCTTTCTTTCGATTTTACGCTAGTTTCAGTTCTAACTTGACTTTTCCCAGACTGCTAAAAATATATTCATTTTTTATAAATTCCCAGGAAAAACATACTGTGAAAGCAAACTGACGGTAGCGTCCTCTAATTTGATGCTTTGTTTACCGGATCTACGAGTCATATCTCCAGGTGAAGCAGCACATCGAACTACACATTTTATGAGAGAGTTGAAAAAACGTGAACCACCTATGAAATCCAGGAATTTGACTACATCCTCGATGCAACATAGCGATGCTAAGCATCGAACTATGCTAACTAATATTGGCATATGTTCCATGGTTGTTTCTAAAATTTTACATTTACTAATTAAGTAATTAAAAATGACTGCTCCAAAAAGCCCCTTTATTCCTTTCGATCTTTAATTAATTCTAACTCACAGCCAATGGTTCAGATTTTTCAAATGACTTTCTTAACTATCGGTGTGTAGCTGGCAAAGCATTGAACCACAAACTGTTAAAGTTACTAGTCATCCTAATAAAGATTAAATAAATCGACTCTTCAATGAAAGAAGTTAACCTTTGCAATAAGTAATAACTAATTCGATCCAATATTGTAGGAGACCAAAGGAGTGAAGCTGTGTTATGCTCGTCCTTGACTGGCACATTCGTTGCACAACAGTAAATGCATTCTGGGTAACACCTTCTTTTTTCGCTAGAATTTAATTGTTTATAAGTTTTATTTTAATGTTATACACAATAACTGGATACTCCGATGACAGCAAATCTCTTATACGAGATCGCACTGCATCAAATATATTCTCTATGCATAAAATAAACCTCAATTAATCGCAAACCTCCAATTCAAAGCGATATACATTCTGTCAGCCCACACTCCGGAATATATTTCATTTATGTCGGAAAATCCGAAAACTTGTAATATTAAATTATTCACACCAATTGAGATTTGTATCATTAACAATTAAGCTGAGGAAGCTGCATTTCGCAATTTGTCTTTGTCAAATTTAATTTATTTGTGTTGCTATAAATCATTAAGAGATTTCTTATAACGCCTTTGTCCTTTAATTGCTCATTGTTTTTATAGTAGCAAATGTAGCTAGCCATTTGTTCTCATCACTTCTTTCCCCAACATGACATTGTCTGACTCTGGGGTTACCTATTAAACCCATTATCTACTGTCCTGGTACTGCCCCACATAGGATATGTAAACTGTCAAATTATTATCTGGCCACTCTTTCCATTCATTTTTTTCAACATCTATACACTTATTCCACTCTACTTCCAACTGTCATCAAGTCACTGTTAATCATTTTATCTCTGATACTAAAATTGTTCTAATACCATTTCTAATACAAATTCTCAACAATAATTTGTCTGTGAATCAACAATAATCAATTTCACAACACTTTCACAACAACTTATTCGATAATTTCAAATATGTATATTTCAATTGTTCAATCAAAACTCCTGGTCAAGAGATTTGCATTGCAACTCTCATGTAGAATGCAACATAAAATACTATGGAAGAAAGAGAAAAAACTGACGTTTGTCGTTCAAATCTAACAGGCCGATCTCTTTCAATGCATTCCGTAGAAGATGTGGTGCACCGCGCATCAACGAGCACAATAGCCAAGATGCCGATTTTGCTAATGTATCATTGCACTGCTCACTAACATCCACTGCCATTTCACATAGAAACCTTAAAAACCATTTCAAAGAACTTCGCATCTATAGTCACCCCAATCCTATATATAAAGATTTGATTTATTAATTAGTAATTCCTCTTCTCGATCTTCGAAAACCATAAAAATGTGAAATAATCAGATTCAGATTATACCATTTTAGAAGGGACAACACTATATACATAGTAGTATTTCTACAATGTTAAACCCATTGAATAAACTCGGAAAATTAAAAGACAAATTTACTAAGAAATCCAGCTATAAAATTGAAAAAAAAAAAAACAAACGGAAGAAGCTGTGGCGTTAGATCCATGCACAGTGCCAAGGTATCAAGACGTCGCTCTTCCACATTAATATTATGCCATATAATACAAGAAGCAGTCCAAATTAAAACAGCAGCAACGTCCTGCAAAAATTTTCGATAATATATTTTAACTTTTTAGATTCTAGTCTTTAGTGCATTGGAATTATTTGCTCCAGAATTTACCAATTACGTCATTACATCTCGTACGAGATATTTGTTTTTTGTTCAATGAATAAATAGCCAAAGACAAAAGCTGTTGCCTTTTCAAACCAATAATCCACAAAATACTTTTCCTCATTATCATTCCCCGAAATTAGAAAATGGGTAACAGACTTTGCATTCTAAGTAACTTGCTGAAAAGTGAAATATAAATTAGCACTGGAAGAAAAAGATAGTAGAAAAAGTAAGCAAATATTGAAACACAGTGTGTTTGGTGCAGAGATTCAAACTGACTGGCAAGCTAAATTATTTAGTTTACCATTTAAGCATTTATTCGTTAGCAGCTATAATATTTCATACACAAACTTTTTTCACTTTTTCTTTGCAGCTTTCGTCTACAAGCAGTGCTCTCATTTTTACCATTACCGAATTGTCATTTTTCGCTCACCTACATAACTTGCCTACTGCAGTGTTCTATTACTACGTTGCATTACCGTAAACGATTTTTTCAGTTTATTCTATTCACTGTCCTTTCAATACATACTCGATAATGCAGTAAAAATATAAAGAAGCTTTGTATTATTTCGAGGAACTGGTAGAGATTTTCAGCGGAATACAGCGGATAAAACGGGAAGCTAGTAACATTAAATTAAGAGATATCTGCAGTATTTAGGAGAAAATGGGTCCAATAAATAACAATGATCTAAGGCGAAGAAAACGACACTAAAAATAGAGGGAAATACTGACAGGAAATTACAGACTTCATGGGATTAAATTATAAAGTTTTGCTCTCTTCAAAATTTTAATTAAAGTCAATTTCTGCTACCAACCTCACCATAAGCATCGAGATCTTCTCTACTTAATGTTGTTATTTTTTATCACAGTGCCAGAAAAATGTGTTCTAGAAATCAGACTGCTCTTTATGTTATACAGTAGTACTGTTACGCCTTTATCTGAACTAATCTATATTAAGCTTTTTGAGTCTGGATTATTTACTATAGCGATTCCATTACAAAAATTCATTATTTCTTAAACTTATAATGTAAAATAAGTTCATACTGAACTGGTAATATATCAAATTTTGAAAAGCAGAACAAACCCGCAGTGGATTCTTATAATTCTGCGAAGTGATTATAGAAGTAACACCAAGAAGCACTTGATACTGTTTTACGACACAGATCTGGTCCATTTGTACTCTGACAGTATCATCTTCTGGTGGTGATAGGTTGCGTGCACATAACGTAAAAAGTAGGTTTGGAAGCCATTCCAAGGATTCGTTGGTAACAGTATTACCTTGCTCTGTGACCAAAAGTGTTCAAATTACATTTAAATATTAGGAAAAGTAAGACGATTCAATTTTTTTAACATATACACATTTAATTCCAAGCTTTAAAGATTAAAAACATAAGTATATAAACCTATGTGTTGAAAAATCAGTTGAACGATCGAGTACGGCTTTGTCCGTTCATGATCGATCTGATAAAAAAGTTCTGAAATGCGATGGTAAACTAGGCTTGATAGTGGTCGACCCAAAAAGAGCGCTACAACAGCACGTGGAAGTTCCGGAGCATATTGCCAAATACAATATTTCTCAAGACGACATAATTGTACCATGATTGAAAGCCATTGTACGCTGTAATTTTCATTGTGAAGTATCCGAATGAAGAATATTCAAATGTTACTTGATTTTTCTTCCAACAAACTAGCAAATACCCACATTATTTGTCATATGGATGCAATAACGATGGATAATGTTCAGGCATTATAGAAAAATGTTTCACAAGTTTCAAGTAAGCCAAAAATTTAATATTGACCAATGAAAATAACTAGTGTAGGTAAAAAAAGGATGATCTTTTGGATTTCCCTTTTGATTTGTTACTCAGCCATATAATACGAAACTGTAATTTATTTTAAATAAGCGAGCAGACGGAACTAATGATTTAATTTAACAAACATGTGTGTTAGCAAACATTAAGTAAAAATAAATAAATGAATTTAGTCAAGAAAACTGGGAGTAAAAAACGAGAACAAAGAACTACAGATTTTGGCTCTATACTTGATTAATTTGAAGAATCGATAGTATTAACGTTAATTCAAGAATAATGCTTACAAGTCTGTATTTTTTGGACATGTATATGTCAGTGAAGTAGTGAAGTTCATCCCTAACAAGAGTATCTGCGAAAGGGATAAGTTTGTCGAATCCGGTGGTTTTTTAAAATACAAGCGTACCTGGAAAAATTTTTAAATTTTGGAAGGAAAAAGTAATAGAATTTGACCTTTTAATAAACAAGATTAAAAAGATTAAAAGTTAAAAAAGAAGCTTCTACAGCAATGACGGGAAGTTTGTATGAGTCTGTTGAAATGCGAATCTTGCTATATCCAGTAGTGCTCAGTGGTGCGCCAAGATTGCACCATTGAGTAAGGGATGTTTCTGAACATAGTTCAACTTGAACGGCTGCTGGAGCTGCTGAAAAAAGTATTCATTAAACTAGAGAACTGTCTGCACAAAATACTGTTAAAAAAATTTAAGAAATGATATAAAATGAAGGCAATAGAAACTTAAAACAGTAAGCCCAACATTTTTATAAGATTCGCAAAAGAAGAATAAAGCAAACTCACTGCTTAAAGCAGGAACATGGGGTCGGATTTGTATTTCGTGCAAAACTATGTGATATGGAAGGTTCAGGGTAATATCGAACCATTCGCCGCCACCTTCATTAAATTGATAGCTCCAATTAGCGGATCGAGTACGACGCGCTGCAGTAACCGCAATCAAGGATAACAGCTGTCCACTAACGTTTGGTGTTTGCTCAGAACTTATTGTACCTAGAAATCAAAACATTAGTTTAAGGCAACTCCAGCACTGTGTATTTTAAGGATTGGCTCAGTTCAAGTTAAACCTAATATAAAAAAGATTTAAATCATATTAAAAACAGAAATCATGGTTAAAAAACATAACGGTTCTATAAATTTATTTGAGAAACTACAAAACTAATAAAAAGATCCTTTAATTGATCTATAGCAAGTAACTTTCGTTCTAAGCTTCGCTTATCATCTTTTCATTTCTGCTAAAGAGCATAAAAAACTTACAGAGTGGTGCGTAATTGTACAATCCATCGTCTTGTACATCGGTCTGTAACTTCGGTGCTTGCCACCCATAATCATTGCTACCAGCCACTTGAGCGGACAATGAAGCAAGCTGTCGCATAAGAGGAGCAGAAATTGGAGCTGTCCAATCATTTGCTGAAGCCAGTATAGAACGTTCCAATTCACGTGCCACAATTAAGTGTCCTCCTGAAGTACCTCAAACTATAAAGCCTCTGTGTACATTTACCGAACAAAAATGTGAATATGTATAATAGTTTCAATGTTATTGGAAACTATTTTACAGCTACGAAGCCTTAAATTTAATTAATTTTTAAAGACTTCACCGTTTCTAAATGGTTAATATTTAATGTCTTGAGTTGAGAAGAAATTTTCTAAAATAATGTATTGCAGAACAAATTCCTTCTGTTTCGATGTAAAGGAAAAATTGGAATAACAGAAAGTTTGTGATAAGTTAACAATAAAGTTTATCAAATCATATTTCTTTTTATCGAGCTCTAAAAAACAAGCTCAGGAAGAATAAGAGCAAACGAATTTGCACTCTTGCATAAGCTTATATTCCTTTACTTACAACCTCTTTTGAGAAGAAGTTGCACATAAATTTACTATTAATATCACAACAAAAAATAGTGTGCATAGAAGGGAGGGAAAAGAAAGGGAGAACGGAATTCAGAAGCAAGTAATGAGTAATAAGAAAGTAACTAATTTACGCCAAAATTATACGCATTATGATAAGTAGAGAGGGGCATTATTTGTTTGAAAGTGGAAATCTCTCAGCCAACATAAATATCAGAAACATTACGGACAGAAAAAATTACCGAGCTCAGCAAAATGAATCTGATTATGTTTAAGTCCTAGCATTTGAACAAATGCAAAAGCAAGCGGTTTTGAAAGTGAGTAACTAGATGGATTGGCACAGCGTTTTATTACACGCACAGCTATTTCGAACAAACGCTTTGTCTCACGCGACACTTTTTGCGATATTTTTAGTAACATTGATAGCGCGTGGTCACCCAAAGTTACGTGATTCCAGCTGAAATAATTTTAACTATCATAATTCCTCCATTCTGATCATTCCCATTTCAAAATACCATAGTAATGATTTATTTAGGACCATTCAACTGTTAAGTTAAACCAGTTACTCATAATAACCATTTTGACAATACAAAATGTTGAACGAATTACACTAATTCGTTTATGCGACTTTTTTGAGTAGTGTTAGTCGAAATCTTAATGACATTAATCTAATTTCGAGAATAAGTGAGAACAGTTCAGCAAAACACTTACTCTTGCAGAGAAATTAAATTTACATCCGGAACGGCACTTTTGCATGTTGCCACAATTTCAAATAGTTCTTCGATTGAACTTGGGAAGCTGCTCAATAAATGGTCTGACACTTCGCTTGAACGGTCCAAATAACACGCAATCTGGAAAACTATCAGAATGATTTATCAGTATAATGGCAGTGAATCAAATAAAATATCTTCCTACGGTAAGATTTACTTTTGCTTATTCATTTGTTTGTTATCCTAATTTTCATAGGAAATAATTTTTGCAGCAATATATACACCAGCATCTCAAGTATTAAAATTAAACGCTTTATTCTGATCATTCCCATTTCAAAATACCATAGTAATGATTTATTTAGGACCATTCAACTGTTAAGTTAAACCAGTTACTCATAATAACCATTTTGACAATACAAAATGTTGAACAAATTACACTAATTCGTTTATGCGACTTTTTTGAGTAGCGTTAGTCGAAATCTTAATGACATTAATATTAGTGCAATTGAATCAAGTTTCCGCTCTCCTGATTAGACAATTTTAGATTTGTATACACATACATATATATGTAAAATTAAAATATCGAAATAAGTTTTGATTACCTGATTTAGCATTTCCTGACGAAACATATTTGACTGGTTTTGCCAGCGAGAAGACAATGAGAAACGGTTCAATGAATCACCGCGTCGTATAGATGATCGTTTCGGATCAACAAACTGCTGTGAAAAAAAAAAATTGGATAAGTATAAAAAAGTATTCATGGATGGTGTTAAGTTTTATGTAAAGCCAATTTATGTTTGTCAATTAACCTTCAAGCGCTCTACACCTATATCGGTTGGTCAAAGAAGTGCTAGTAATCAGTATCCGATTAATTAATAACAATAAGAAAATTCAACAACGAATAATGTGTGCATATATTAATAAAAGATCCTTTCCTAAAAAAAAAATTCTCACTATAATATTAATAATCTAAAAATCAAATAATTTCAATTATTGTGATCAATATAAGCCCCATATCTACTGATCTGATTCCTTATCGCCCAGAACAAACCGTACGAATCCTTTTTTCCCTCTCATGCAGAAATGATTACTCATCCGGTTAAAGTTTAAAAACAAAAGAAATTCGGAAATGCATGAAGTGCATCACACTGCAATAAAACATGAGACAAAACTGGCATCTTAAATCATCTTTCATGCTATTAGAGAGGATACTATTAATAAACGAACGTCATAGGACATTATGAAGCATAAAATGAGATTTGATACGTCAAGTATGGCAATCATTATCAAGCAAAAATAGAATACGAGTAGTATAGTAAATACCATCAGATTCTATATAATTAATAATAGCGAAGAATAAATGACATAAACTATCTTATGGCTCTTAGGTCCAATCCATTTTTTAAAAATTGCTTCGAAACAATGGTAGAATGTACAAAAAATATTCCCGTTTATTATCTTATCTTCTAATATGCTCTTTTACAAAGTATTTTTTCAGTGAAACTTACATTAGGTAGCTGTAAATGCTGGCCATATTGTCCCCACAGTTCTGGAACATATGGACAGTGGGAGAAATGTGTATTTTCACATGCATGATGCATATTGGTCGGTATCTTGTGAGTAACCTAAATGAAATAATACACTTAACAAGTCTGCTTAGATTCTACAGCCATAAAAAATGAATCCTTTACCTTTGATGTTAATTTGTTCGTTTTATTTCTTATTATTATTTGTTTTAAGCTTTCCGCCATCAGTTGGCAGTAAACTAGTTAAAGATATATAAGATAATCTTTAGAACGGTTTAGAGAGAATTTTAGTCTGATCATAGAACAAACTAGTGCTGACAATTATAACAACAACAGTATTTCATGCAACACGAAAAATTACACTCACAAGTACTTACTTCCAACCACAATACAGATGCTTGCAAAAATATTGATCTATCATATTCATATCTATTTTTTTAAAAAAACGAAAAGAAAATCAAACTTGAAAGCATATGTTCGGTCGAAGATATGAATCAGCAGAAACTAGCGAATAACTGCCCGAAGTCTTGTAATAATATATGAAACTTCGTGCCGTATGGATTGATGAAGATATATATCTAGCAAGCTCGCGTGCTAAAAACAAATTTCTCATTTATGATGTTATCATGCTATTTAATTACAGTCTGAATAAGAGCAACACATCACAGACATACTGATTCAGACTCTTCCTCCAAAGGAATCAAATCAACAAATATTTTATAACTACTCATCTAAAATTATTTATATTTACATTCACATATTTTAACCGATCTTAATCAGAAAACTTGAACAAAAAAATCATGCTTAGTTGGAATGACGTTTCTGTCCAACTCTACAATATCTGCTACTCTTCTCCTAAGCGAACAAATGAATGAATATTTCTCACTGCCAAATAAATTTAGTTCTTTCACATTGAGTATGCAAAACTATAGCAGCTAGCTCAAAACTAAGAAATACTTACGGGCCACATTGACATAGTCTGATGTATAATTCGTCATAACATTCAATAATTCAACCAAGCAATCGATTGGATATGAGAAATTAATCAAATCATCCCTATAATTACAAGCAAAACGATGTTGTTTACATTAGCCAAAATAGCAGTTGGCCATTTTTGGCCACTTCTATCAACGATTTCACTGAAGAATGAAGAGTGGAATTGAAGACGTGATTCAACAGTGACTGGATTAATACTCGTTTCCTGCACTGTGCTGTGGCGATTTCTTCCAAATCTCCTATTTAAAACGATGAGAAGTATTTTGCGGAATAGTTTATTAAATTTAAGAAAATGAAATTAGTAAAATAACATCATACTGCTGTGAAGAAATATCCGTAAGAACAGTGAGAATTTTGACACAAAGAATACTACGAAGAGAGATATCATGCGAATCATGAAGTCGTGTAATAAAACTTTTGAAGGCACATATCGTTGAAGGACCAGTCTGAAAATGCTCACATGCAATGTCGAATGGAGAAAAAAATTATTTTTTAAAAATCTTGAAATTTAAAGAAGTCCAATATAATTCCTTTATTTAAGAAAAATTTTTAATTCTAACAATGATAAGGGTGAATAATACCGCTCAGATATTCTTGCTTTCAAGCGGCAGAGCAGAGACATACCTAGTCTTCAATGCAGCGAATGAAATGAAACTAGGAACACACTAAAATAAGCATCAGCTCATAAGTTAATAGTTCAAAATTTGGCAAAACTTACTGTTAACGATTGATTAACTCTTGCAATATTTTTCACCAAAAAATTATTAATTAGTTTGCAAAAAAGAGGTGAATCAATCAGAAGTGTTGCGGCCATGGACTAAAAATATATACATATATTGAGCTATAAAAACATTCTATACATCAAAATAGTTCGTATATAATGAAACCACAATTACTTATTGCATTGTTTTCTGATATCTTCTGACAATTTTTAAAATTGAAATGAAGTATGCTAACTAAAAAAATACAAGCGAAATTCTCTGCCATTCCGAAAGAGAAGAACCAAGTACAAATATAATATAAAATTATTTTCAAATAGTATTACATATGACAACTGTTAAAGCCACTTTGCACTACAGTTGCCTTTTTCATTTCCTGAATTTCCTTATTAAAAATTTTTTCTTCTACATTTTGAACTGATGAATTAAAATATAAATTTTTACATCATTTTTGACTATAAGGTCCAGGGTACGTAATATGAGCACCCATAAATGTTCAGAAAGTGAATTCGACACTACCGCAAAGTTCACAATGGAAGTTATATTTTCAGCGGGAAGTATGCATTTGCCAACTGCAGGCAATTTCTTCGTTGAATCTGGAAAGATATTAGATTATTTTGCAAAACTTTGCCAAAATAGCAAATTCACTAACACAATTCAAAAAAAAAAAAATAAACTTTGCAACTAACGTTTACATTGCTAGAAAAAAGGCTCTCCTTATTATCGTATTGTTATTCAAATGTTTTTTGCAAAAACTAGAAACATTGCTTACTAATTGCTGCCCAGAGTTTGCTATGCTGAAAGAAAACTAAATTATAAAATGTCCTACGAATGAGACCAGCTTCGAAATCCAGGCAAAATGTAAGAAGTTGCTGCACGGTTTCATCAGAGTCATTAGATGAAATGGATTGAACAAATCGCCCAAGAGCAGCGCTAGTTGCATTCAGTGTTTCGCCAAGTTGTGCACGCATCGTTTCATCTTCCGGTAGCCGAGGACGCGACAACAAGCAAGCCCTCCACCTACTCAGATCTCGAACTGAATATCTACAAAATTGTCCAAATAATTCTCAATAATTCAGTGCTAAAAATGACAACTGTTAAAGCCACTTTGCACTAAAGTTGCCTTTTTCATTTCCTGAATTTCCTTATTAAAAAATCGTAGAAATAACCTTGTGATAATGTCAGCAAGAAAATCCATATTCATACAATGAACATATTGGTTCAAGCCTAATTGTTGCGTCAGATGATCAGGATATACAAATGAACAAGGTTGCACCAAGATATCATTTCTTGCCAGTCGAAATTCACCCTAAAAAAACACTATCATTTTTATCCTTAACGATAATTCGTTCTTCTCTTTAGAATTTTTTAACTGCTAAATTTATTTTCAAAATTACATATCTATCACTACTATATCACAGAAAAAACTTGAAGCAGTTGTCGCAGTGGTAGCACTTAAGTAGTAACAGATTCGAAATATAATGAAAAATCTTGATATCCAAACTTGAAAACATGAATTTCTTACATTCAGCATTCAAAGAATTAAAATCAGAAAATTTAAGCTATCAACAGTTTAATTAGATGCTACACAGGGTCGATCCCAAAAAGCAGAGAAGTTTATGCATAATGATCTAATATCAAAGAAAAGTCTAGCTCAGTAATCACTTAGAATACTATAATTTTTTATAGTATGACGCACCAGAAAGCAAGCCATTATATGTTCCACATAAATCTCTCTGTTCACGGATATTTTCGGCATCCATTTCACCGGCACCCATTTTTCCATACCTTTCTTTACTTTATTTTCCGAAAAAATAGAAAAAGCTGACGAACACGGCTCCTGAAAACAAATAAAATATTTTAAATAACTGCAAACATAATTTTTTTGTCTAAACAACACGTGCATACTGGTAATTTGGTATTTTTTTGCCTGAACAATACGTTTGAGATAATTTTCCGACTATTTAGATCATTGACCAATTCATGCAACTGTTTTAAAAGTCATAAATTTTGCCATTTCTTTAACGAAGGATACTGATTCTGGAATTTAAACAAGAAGTAACCGTTTCCATGGAAGTTTCTTGAGTTGCAGAGTTAAACAAATCCAATGCTTCTAAGTGTTCAAATTCAAAGGCAGAACCTGCCGTCACTGGAAAAAATATTTTTTTATGCACATATAAAAGTATTTCAAAATATTACCAGTGCACAATATACAATTCAACTTGCGTTGAATAACCCAGTCAGTGATCTAACAAACAGGAAACAATAACAATGTTTGAAAATTTTAAAAATTAAAATACCTTTTGTATTATCATGAGAAACAAAATCAACTGTGTTTTTCATCACTTCCATATCTTCATCGTTCTGCCCCGTTTTATATCCACTTTCTTTCATTTCTACATCGGTCGTACGCAGCGTCGGCGATTCAGGAGCTGAAGGTGAACTGGATCCTGGTTCAGCTATCGGTGAGGAAGATACGAAACCATGAGTTGATTCATCTAAACTGAATTTTAAAAATTTCAAAAATCTGAAAAAAGCGGCTCTTTGAATAACACATATCACCAATATTATCATCTTACTTCTCGCAATTTTTAAACCGAAAGAAAAAAGCTAACCGCTTCTTTTGTCATTCAAACAGCGCATGTATTCTGATATGCAACAAGCAATAAACGCTGATTTTGATGTAGTTGTAAGTCCTTCATATGCTGTATCTGTTAATGTTTGGGTTTCCATTATTTCTAGATATGATTCTAGATCCTGAAGTAGGATGTAAATAATATAACATATGAAAAGTGAATTCATAAAAGAATTGAAAACAAGAAATGATCCTTCAACATCAGATTTGTGACACTGATTGACTCAATCTAAAACATAAGACAATACCAGGTGAAAACAAATTATGCTGTATTTAAATCAAACAAGCTTAAATTGTTTGATTTTACTTCATCTTTAATTTCGATACAGGAGAAGAAAAGCAAACATCATAAGCTCTTCAAATCTTTTGCTGTAAATGAAATATGAAATAAAAATATACTACAAAACTGAAAATAATAAACGTACACCGTCACAAGAACGCGCAGCTTGCTCCTCGGCTTCCAGAAGATCATCAATCCAGCGAAACACATAACACAATTGTTCACCTTTTGCAAGTTTCTCCATGATTATTTCCTTAGCTCTAAAAATGCAAACACTAAAGATAGAACAAAAGTCAAAGTATACAAATCACTAATCACTCTTTATCCAGCCAAAACCTTTTTATACCTTCACTCTTTTATCTCTTTCATTTTATTATATACTATAAATGACTTGAAAAAGATGCAAACGGCCAATGTTTTAAAGCCGATCAATAACTAAAAGAGTAGTAACTACAAGAGTAATAATTACAAGAGTAAACGTTTACTTCCTCTGAAAAGTGTGACTTCGAATTTCATCATTAGGACCGTCTGGCACCACCGCTTGCCTGGTATTTATCAGAATTTGATATATCAATGTTTCTAGTAGTTCAGATCCTAAGTCGGGTTGTTCATCATAGCTGGAAGCAAAACTTGCATTAAATCAAAATTATCATGCCAAATCTAGTTACCTCCTATAAAATCAATCTACTCTGGAACAGTAATAAATTGTACTTTGCAATGCTAAAGGATCGAGAAGTTTTTGCTCCGCAAAAGACTTCCGGAAGGCAACATACAGCCGCCGTAATGCCAGTTGATTTTCGTTCTTTCACATCTTCCATCATTATTTCACTCTTGGATTTTGCTACAAATAATATGAAATAACATGAAACATGCCTATAAACTGCTTTCCTTACAATCACATGTCAAAATTCCGCATTACTGCAGAATAATTTTATTATTAATTTTAAGAGTATCAGAGTTGTTAAATATTACAGAAAGATTAAGGATTAAATTTGCTTGAACGAAATAAAATTTACCACGAATGATATCAGCAAAATGGCATCCCGTATGATGCATACAAAGCAAATCAAGCTCTTCTGGTATTTCAGATATCTTTGAATCCTTAATCTTCATCGAAACTTGATTTTTGGAAGATGTATTTAATTTAGGGATGGCACGTGATTCTGCCTCAATAACATCTAAAATCAAATGCAAAACTGCATATTTCAGCAAACCAGTCCCTTGTTCCTCCAATCCTGAAAAAAAATGAACAAAAATGAATAAATGGAAACTGCATTTATAAAAAATTTTTAAACAGAATTAACACAAATGCTTTTTATTACTCTGTTGCAAACATTATAATTATCATTTCTTATGTTTTCCATGTCAAAAGTAAATAACTTTAAGCAAGGCAATTTTAAAACAGGTCAGTTGATCCAACAAGCAATTGAAGTTTGGATCATTCAAAATGTCTTGAAAATATATAAAACCGACCAATTTTTATCAGTTTATCAATTGGACCATCCAAAACACAAATCAAAGGAATAGTATGGTGAGAAGCGCTAATGCATATACGAGCAACAACCTGAAAAAACTTACAAAGTAGGAACAACATGGTTAGCCAGCATCGTTTTAACAATTGTCCACTAAAACTACTCAATATATCAGCTTTTATTTACATTATTTTGAACTATTTCATTCAAATTTTGACAAAAAATTAGAAAAAAATGAAAAAAAATCATTATACATATCAGAATGTACTTGAGAGATATAAAATAATCTTACTTTACATATTATCAATTTGGCTAATATAGGAAGCTGCCTTTCAAAATCACAAAGTAAACTGATTAATTTTCGAGCAACATCGATACATGGATCGTGAGGAAGTTTCAAGCGAATACTATACTGTTTGCAGCGAGATCGGGAATTACTTTTGTTTGCCATAGATATTGCCTTTTTCAAAGCTGATTCAGCTGAAACATGTTATTTTGCTGCAGTTAGAGGTCATTCACATTCAATTCAAAAGTTCTATTTCGAATTAAATTAATTGAACCATATTTATGTGGAACATATATAAACATTGTTGGATTTATACGAAAATATTAAGAAACATACAAGAATCGGCCGATGTCTTCAAATCTGAACTTTGTTGATGGACACATTTCTGAAAGATTATTGTTTTTGACTTGAATTGAGGTACAGAATTATCCGCCAAGATCATAGCTTAAAAAATCAAAGCGTGGGATGCATATTTTTATTGATTTCTTTGGAAGATTATGTCACCAATTATGTCACCATGAAAATAAATGAATAGAAAAGCAGCTGCAAATCAGTCGTGCCCCGTAAAGATGCCATAATGAAAATGATTGAAACATTTTTTTCAACTATATTTGATATTTTTCTCATGATTACTTACCTTGGCCAAAATTTCTTTCATCTGTTGCTCACCGAAGAACGGCAACAAAGTCGCATGAAGCTCTTGTGTCAATTCTGTTGGGAAATCTGTTTCAGCGAAAACCTAAAGGAAGGATCTCTGACATTCAAAATTGAATTTTTGTCCAGCTCTTTTGGGTGACTGATGAGCAATAGAGCAATTCATGAAACCCATGTTCAAAATATAACCATATTCCGGATGAATCCCAAATCTGTATCCAAACAATGTTTAAAGTGGCATTAAATGTCGCTAAACCGGTAAAATATGAGCAGAAAAAAATCAGTTAAAATGAAGAGCATATAGTGGCCTGCAGCTTACGCTAACGAATGAAGAAAATTTCGCTTGCTAAGCCGGTCTTCTACATCGACCCAATAAAAACTGTTATTAATCAACGACAGCTGGTGTTAGTAACGGTGCTTCAAGACACGTTCATAGCAAGTGGAACATGAGCAAGGGTTGTGGTCAAAGAGATGGGATGAAACTCTTTGAGGTTCTCGAAACGAAGAATGGAGAAGATTGTACCATGACAATTTAACATATCTTCATATATAAAAGCGAACCGAATGACCCATTTTATTAGGTGGGGATAAACCATGGATTTTCTTCTCCATTTCAACTTTCTTTTGCATTTTGGCATTTAATGCCTTAGATATCTTCATATTTGCTTTCATTGCTTCCATCACCTTTAAGTGCTTCTCCCACAATGTCTCGAGTTGAGTTTTCTAAAAAAAAATGGGAAGAATATGAAGTAGTACTACTGCGACTGTCCAGGTAGGTCATACAAATAAAGAAATTGAATGTTGAGTAGAGAGGCAGTTGAATGCTGAATGCAGATGAGCATCGGCTGTATAAAAAAAGCTCATTAGTCACTCCATTTAACTGAGCACAGCAATTGCTATAATTGTGTTTTGCATAATAAGTGTTTTTTTCTTAAAAGATCAAATATTTTACTATACTTCAGCTTGACCTAAATGCTCTTCTTACCTCTTATAGCACTGAATTTCTCAAACAAGTGATGTTAGATATAAAAATGAGATTCGGAAATAAATTCCCAAAATGAAATTTTGAATTTCTTGTGCTCGTGCAAAAAGTCATAATAAGTTTCAGATAACTGTCTGGATCACTGCTGATACTTACAAAGATCGCCTCTTAATTAATATACTGTTGAAATCGACGAATTTCAGGAAATCTTATAAGCTTTCTGTATGACATCTCTAAATAGAAGTGCTAATTACCAAGGTAGCAGAGCTGATATTTTTTAAGGATTCTGTGGTTTTCTCGTCACTATTCCCAAACTTCAACTTCTTCTTGTGCCATTTGGGCATAGAATCATATCTTTCGTTCGTTGTCATTACTCGCGAATACTCACCGCCAATGAATGCCCAACGGTCATTCTTTTTTTTGTCTGAAAACATATTAAGTGGACGAAACAAAAACACATTGCTTCTTCATAGATGACGAACACTAGTTTTGAAAAAAGCTTATCAGCCACTGCACCTCTACTTCAGCACAGGAGCTTATTTCTCTAACCTACGATGTTTTGCTTCTGTCTATAAGCACTTTTATCTCATATGAGAATTATTTTATGGAATCCATAATTTATTTCAAAAGTTGAAAAAACTTATGGTACATTATAAATATTGACGTTTTCTTTCTAATTTCCTTTGTACTCTGTTAAGAATGTAGCGAAGACTTCCTCTGATTTACCTCAATTTTTCAAAAAATATATATCTAAGAGAAATGTTATGAAGTCAGCAACAATTTGAATTGTAATGATAAAATTCGCAGGTAATAACACAGTTCCAGAAACGGATACTGTAAATAATGTAACTACAGAGATTTTAGCAAGCAGCAAGTAAGAGTAAAAAAGAGAGCGAATCAAAGATAAAACTTTCAACCAGAACTGAAAATTGTCTTCTACATAGAAAGAGTCGCACTTACTGTGAGCAATAACATCAAAAGCGCTCGAAAGAAGCATCAGAGACCAACAAAGCAAGGTGACATCTAAGTTATTTTGATATTGACAATCGACTGCACTATCCAGAGCACCCATTGCTATTTCTTTGATGAGATTAAAAAGCTCGAGAATAATAGCAGACTAAAAAGTAAAATTAGCTGACAGTCACATGCTATCATGAGATAAAAATAATTGTACTAATTTTAAATTAAACTATAAGAATGGTTGAGCGATAAAGTTTTTGATAAATTGAAACGAAATGCAAAATTACCTGTTTCGAGCTAGATTTCACTGAGTGATTGCATAAAAATGACAGTTGTAAAAAAATCCTATAATAATACACAAGTTATTATGAAGAAAGATCCTTAACAACTTTGAACAGCAAGGGAATCACAAAATTAGCGCAAATTCATATTTATAATTTTCAACAGAAACTAACTTGTCAAAGAAAATGCATGACTTACTTGTGATCATGTTTTCTGAGCTGCGTAGAAAAAATTTCCTTTAGGACACGAGGAAAGAACAATGGCCACCACTCACTTTCGGATCCGTGATGAAATAGCCAAGTGATACATCCCACCTAAATTAAGAGTAATTTTAAAATGCTATAAAATGCTATTTAAGAAAATCTAGTTTTAAACAACCTGCAATCTCGGTACAGCTGGAACACAAAACAAAACGAAGAGGGTAACGGCATCATCAAGATTGAACTTCGGTTGCAAAACAACCTCCTCAGTTGATGGAAGTGACAAATTTACTTCCAACGTTTCTTTACATTTTATTCGGGCATATTTTGCTTCACTTGGATAACAGCTCTGCAAATAAGGAATCAAAATTCCTGCAAATTTATTATAAAATGACAAAAAAGCAAAATTTGAATATCCCTCTATATTATCTTATAAAAAATGATCTTATTAATTCCAAAAAAGTGTGACATGCAAAGACGAATATTTTATTTCTGAGTTATTTTTCAGATAAATCTAACATCTTTAAAAATAAAACTTATGAAAAAGCAATAAGATAAGAATGTCTAATCACATAATTTAAATATGATTGCTCAAATTTTCCTTGTAATCTTATAAAAATTCTGCATTTCATATCGCAGTAAATATTTCGAAAAAAGTTCAAATCAAGTCAATTCCCAAGCCCTTCACTTGAATTCAATAAGCCATGTAAACACCTTTTAACAAAGGTATATTGTTATTAACTTACACTGCATACCAATAATGCCAGTACCTGAACAGCAGCCTTGCTGTCATTGGTAAATATTTCCAATGCAACAGTCCAAACATCAATCAAATGAGTTGCCCGAGTGACCAAAGCAAAAAGTTCGACTGCAACAGTTTGCAATTGATCTGGACAGCAGTCACTCCAGCTTCCGTGCAGAGCTTTCTCCAAATTTTGATCAGAATCTGAACAGAACAATTGACTTTTAAGTTTTAAGTAATACTTTCAAGTGATGCTTATTGGTCCTTGAAATATTTTTTTAACTAACCAAATATTTCATTCTCATTCTCTTGTATTTTAAGATGAAATAACTTATATATATTAATTCGAAATAAATATTAGATATTAAATAAAAAAACGCGCCATGTGATGGTAAGTGATCTAACTCCAACCGACGCACCACACCTACTACAATATTCCACTGCAAACTGAGTTGAACACATTCGCGGTAAACTTGTTTTACTTCTTCTTCAGAAGCAGATTCATCTACCAAACGATGCAGTTCAGCACTCACAAGTTGATGTCTGCATCGTAAATCTTCACAGAGCTGACGTAAATTATTTAAGGCAACCACCATCTAAAAGTCAAAAATTTTATAAATCTTGTTATCCTCGATTCAGCACAGACATGAAACAGACTAAACTATCAAAATTTCATAGGAATAATCAATAATTAAGTTCTGATTCTATTTGCATTTTCACTGACATAATTCAACAAGTAGTAAGTAAAAACTGAATAAGAATTCCAGTCAGAACCAATTAATAACTGTATGTCACAGTAGGAACCTTGTGCGTAAAACAATCTATCAACCGCAAATTCGTATAATATCAAAATCTTTTAAACTAACGATTATAAACTATTTGACCAGAAATGTATAGAGTATTGGTATCACGGATATATCTTAATTGAGAAATTATTAAATGAAACCATTTTCTACTGCAGATTTTAAAATGAATTAAAAACTAGCAACAAACCTTTTTTTGTTGATTAGATGGCATACAACGAGCAAAATACTCTTTTTGCATAAATGGATATGAATGAATTTGCCATGATGAAAAGTAACGATGCCCAAAAAAGAGTCCTACTGGAATTTTACAGGCTGCGCTATAAAGTTGCCGTCCAACATACGTTATCTATAAGTCAAACTGGCAGTAATACAAATGCTATTTTATTCATGAACAAAGTTGAAAATAAATGGCACAATTTCACATCTTATATTCACCTATAAAGAGTTACATTGCACTTGTGGTCCTACCTTTACAAATCTTATCCGCATAAAGGGTTGAAGATCTTGTACAGCGATACTTTTGCAACATATATCCGTTGTCATCAGTAGTCGCTGCCCATCAACATTTTCACCCAAGAGCCACACGTCTATAGAAATTGCTGCTATTTCTGCTACCGATGGGATAAATAAGTCTGTCAGAAGAACAGGCATTCCAAAATCTAATATTACGAATTTTCTAGATCCTATAAATATATCAAATTGAAAGAGTGGATTCCAATTTGTAGAATAACAGTTTAAAAAATAAAGCAGTGGTGCAATTTACATGTAATTAATTTAACAAAGTAAAATAGTGAAATTATGCATAAAGATTAATTAATTTTAACATTGTTTAAAAAAATATGCTACTACCAACCAAAAGAAATTCTTTCCACCAATAAGATTTTTTGTGATGGCAACTTGAAGATATCAGACGAAATCAAGGGTATCAACGATGGAATCTGAGAATGTATTTCAGTTCTTTGATTACTGTTTTCCTGAAATTCATCACCAGCATCCTACAAAAGCATAGATGACACAAATCAAAGTCTATATGACATTAATCAACTTTATGATTTTATGACTTACTTCCTGGTTTTGTCGAATACTTTATCAGCTTGTGATATAATTTTTTTAAAGAAATGAAAGGCAAAATTCAATTAATAAGAGGTTTTATGGACAAGAGAAATCCTAATTTTATATATGAAAACAATTTTCCAAATAAAAGCTGTTCGCATTAGAAAGGACATTTCTATGATGACAAACAAAAAGAATAAACAGTTTTGATCATGAATTTTTCACTGTTTTAAATTCCTTACCGTAGACTCTTCCTTTATCATAAACGCCAGATTCGGTTCTGAGTTTATGGGCGAGAGATGTGATGGGGAGAGTGGAGTTGGTGTCATGAATGGTGTTGTTTTTGGTGTAGTTGGAATACCAAATGTGCTTGCTGATGATCCTTGTGTTGCGAAACCTTGTGAGACTGCTTCAAAATTTTCTGGATTATCGCTTATCAGTAAACATTTATTATGAAACATGTTGAAAATTTCACACTCGTAGATGAAAATCATTTAGTTTTATACTCTAAACGAATGCATAAAATATTGCGGTTTACTTTGTGAGCTCTGCTCAACGTTTCCAACTGCATTATCCTCTTTTGTCTGTGCTTGCTCCATCGCAATCAACGTCATACGTGCATTCAAATCTGCGCTTAAATCTTGCAGTCCTATTTTCGAAGCTCCGGAATCATTTCCAATATTTTGTTCCGAATTCTGGAACATATTACTGTAAAATAACAGATCTGAGTCCTATCATTAAAAATTTCCATTAAATAAACATTTTTAGACAATTTCTGCAACAACTGGGTTTTTTTCTTATCGTTGTGAATACACATTATATTTACAATCTGTATGATTACTGCTTATATATCCAAAATGTAACTTTATATTTTTTACATTTTTTTATGAAATGTAAATATGAATCCAAAAGATCAACAAACTTTGTTTAAAATTGTTTGAGTAATATCCATAATTTTCAGTGGTATAGAACCTTCCTTTTCAGTATGACCAATAGGTGTAGATGTGCAATCAACATCTGTTATAAAACCTATAATTAAAATGATGTGAAATGCAGTTAATTTTTAAATACAACAGTAGGGTGATTATACCTCTATAATCCACGTTAATTCAAAAAAATATTAAAAACGCCACCAGTCTCCGTGTTCTCCACTTTAATGTGATCCGAAGCATATATTACGGTGAATGTGAGTGGCTCCGTTTCCAACAAACCGCTCAACTGTGTTGATGATGTTACTGCTTGATATTTGCATTCTCTTTGAAAATTTGCCGAATTTGCTGAAAGTCAATCCATCATTAATTATGTATTTGAAATGAATAAATGAAGATTCGACTAAAATAGCAATACTATTACCACTAGTAAGAAAGTTAAAGAATACGTGTGCGTAATACTAACGACTTAAAAATTGAAGACAAGAAGAATTAAAGACAAAATGAAGACTTCCTGAGGTAAGTAATAGAGATGATAAGGAAAGATTTAAATTTTGATAAAACTCATACTGAATGAAAGCAGTAGTGCTGGAAGCAAGATCTGAAATTTAATAATTTACCTTCTGCGATACTTTCAGAAGTTTCTTTTGTATAATCTGTTGATATATTAAATAGTGCCAGCCAGTCCATTTCATCCTAAAATCTGCTGACACATTGCACAAATTAAATTTGTGTGAATAAATTACTATAAAACTCGAACTTCATTTTCGGCATTTATTGGCACTGCAGTTAACCTACAGTTCATTTTTTAAATAAATGTAGTACTATACTGGAACACATGACTAAATATCATGATTTTATCGTAATTACCATAAAAACAAACGATAATGAAAATATAAAATCCTTTTTTATTTTATTCACTGGCCAACACGCAGCGTCGTACTCCCAACATATCACATTCACAAACCAGTGTTGCTATTTTTAGCAGCAGGATTTTCAAAACATAGTTCATTTGCGTTTCTTTCCTTCTGCTTGTAAATTTCAACAATAGCTTACTGTATCAACAATGTTTACTAAATACATAATTAATTATATTCTCTAGACACATAAATTTAATACTACTCGCTGCTTCTAATGCATTGTAGATTGGTAAAAACAGTGAACAAACCTCTGCGGTTAATCCACTTATATTTGTATTTGTATCAAGGCAGTCCTTACTGGGAATCCTAGAATCAGCTGTAGAAATCTTTTCGCAACGAGTCATTCCTGCATCTTGTGATGGTTTCATTTCACTATATCCTTTTCCGTAACCAGCAGCAGTAGGTGTCCATTTGTAAGCAATAAGTGTTGGTGCTGCTGGTGGAAAGGCAGTAGCATGTGCTAACTCATTCGCTACAACAACAAAAATGTGTTCTAACCGGATCTCAGAGGTATATTATTTGTATAAATTCATCAGCTTATATTTATTCATTCTTTATGATATTTTCCTAAATCTCGTCCTCATTTCAAGGTCAAAATGACATGTTATATGATAATACATATGTATACGGCAACACTTACGATCGTTCAGTTTAGTAGTGGCAGTAGCTGTTCGCTGCCATAAAGAAAGAACCGACCTCGGCCATTCATACATAACCTCAAAGAGTGCATAATTAAAGAAAAAGATCATAATTATTAAGGTCAATTATATTCTTATTAATTTCAAATAGTTAAAATATATCAAAAAATTGGAACAAACTCAAACTACGACTAAAAAGTGTTAGACAACACAAATATCGAAAGTAGTATCCTTGGTAAGTATAGCAATTTAAACGTACCAGCTCCGTAGGTAATCCACTAAGATTATATTCAGTAGCTAATTTATCATGCACAGAACCGTTCCAACATTGCTTCCATGCAATACCAACAAACTTAAGCGTATTTGTAAATGCATTTAACAAAGTGTTTAAAAGTTCACCACAGGACACATCGTTTGTCTTCATCACTGCCATCTGAAACATTTGCTCACATCTTTAACACATGCAACTTTCGAAACTGGAAAAATCTGTGAGACTTTTTGCGGATCATTCTTTAAATTCATCAGAAGAAAAAACGAAAAAATGTTTGTCAGAATAAATATTCCGAAAACGTTTAATGACTAAATTTCCACAAAAGAGTGAGAGGTAACAAAGTGACATTCAACGTGTGCGGAAGCTTAAAATCAATGATGAAAAAGCTCCGATCCGTTTTATAAATTTATTCAATGATTATGGAACAAAAGCGAAATAACTACATAGCATTAAAAAACTATAACCTGCGAAGATTTAATGAAAGTAATGACAAATTTAGCCCAAACAAACCTTCAACAAAGCGAAAATAAATACAAATAGCCAGTGAAGAGATCCAGCATTCCTAACTGCATGTAAGTTTGTCACGATCCGAATTGAACATGACAAAAAAATTTGTAGCAATTTCGAAAAAGTAGCATCATCTGACTTTTGAAGAGCGCTTGAATAATAGTTCGCGATATAAAGAATTAAAATTTCTTGCAAATTTTTTTATTCTTTGGAAGCATTATCTTTTTGCTGTTACTTTTACGGAGCTTACAAATTCTACTACTATTTTATCTCAGCATTATTTTTCAAATACCTTTTTTGGAAAGATTACATAAAAGAGAGAGTAATTTCAATTATATTTAAACAGTAGGCTTTCAAATAACCAGTGTTTCTTCTTTCAACTAAATTTTTGCATAAAACAAATAAGACTGACCGTAACAAATACATCAATGTAGCGCTCCATTTGTGAGAAATTGATCTTGACGAAATTATGAAACAGTTAACAAAAATGGCATCAACATTTTCAATAATCATTTCAGCAAAAGCAGATAGATAAGTGCTGAAAAACTAAGCAGCAGTAACCGTTTATAGTGAGAGCAAACAAAAATAACAGGAGATAATCGTACAAATAAGATCATTAAAGTATGATTTGCAAAATCATTATCAAAATTCAGCTGATTTCTCATTTTAATAGTTCACTAAGTTAAGGTGATAAGAACTGTTCCCTAACCTAGTTCCCATACATTACATCTAACGCTTCTACTATTTTAAAAGCTTAAATGAAAGACAGAAAAACTTTACTGCTCTATTAATGTCGTAAAAATTTTTTGTCTTTAAAATAACAATATATCTCTGAATTATTTAAAACTTACTGTGATGAAGTATTGACCCAGTTATCGATAAGCCATTCAATAATGTCAATAGCAAGACTTTGTTGCTGCAATTTTTCGCCCTCTGTACGAGTTTTTTGAGCTGGTGATACTTTGGGTGCGATTCCAGCAGCAAGCATCACTATATTGTTGTGCAGATCCGTAGTTTCAATAAGTGCACGCCTTTCAATTCTTTAAAAAAAATTTTTTGGATTTTTTTTCTTATAGCGAGAAGTTATTATCTTCTAATCAGTATTTCCAAAAAAAATTCAACATCCAGGAAATAAAAAAGGCAATTAACTGAACAACATGAATTTAAATATTGAGAGAAATTATTAAAAGCATAAGCTACCTATTGATGAAATATTTCGAAATCCAAAATTCAACATCGCACAATAAGAAAGCATAACATTTTAATAGATACCAAAGAGCCAAAAACAAAAAAAACATAAATTCTACATTAATGACTGGAATTATTTCAAGAAAAAGATACAAAAATAAGAGTGCGCTTTAAATTACAATACTCAAAAGTACCTTTCATTAGGCTCAATTGTTCTCTTCGCCTTTACTACTGTTATTACCAGTTCATCTATCCACTGTATTCCACATCGACTAGTTAAACCTCAAATACGAAATATTTTGGTATTAAACAAACTTTCTTCTAGTAATGTTCATATTCGAAACAAGCAACTATAACAGTAATAACTGATAACGTTTACCATTTTTAGAGCACAATCTCATTCAATGAAACTTGTAAAACACATTTAAAAGTAGCAAGCTTAAACTTACTGATTAGCAAATTAATACACATTTTACTGATAAAATTTCAAAACAATACCAGTATTTCCGTGGGTAGAACCGTGTACAGTTGCCGCTGTGGAAGACTGTGATAGTTCTGTAAATTCTCTGTCATCAATATGACGTTTCGAAGATGATTTTGTTTTACCTGGGATACCTGTTCTGCAAATTGGAAATCATTAGTAATGCTATTTAAAATGACTTTTAAAGTGACTTTTTTTCTACATTTTTCTTTCCTGTTATTCAAGCTCTGTAAAACATGAATAATTATGTTGCGGTATAATCGTCTTTTACTCTAAAATGGCAAAACAGCAATTTGAAATAACACTTTACTATTTTAATAAAAAGAGAAAGAAAAACTGTGTAGCATAACATACGCCTTAAGTTTATCTCGTTCATTTGCCTTCACAGCTGTGATTGCTTGATCAAGAGAATAATCAGATAAAGCCCTCAAGACAAGGTAATAAGAAACCGATTTAGTACCAATTATATTGCCGCCTAAAAAATTCTTTCATATGTCTTAAAAACCTTGGAAGATTAGATGATCTGAATAAAAATTTTTTTTTAGACCGAAATTCCTACATTCTCTAAAAATACGCAATAAATTTAATGAATTTTATTTGAACAGTTCCCAAAAAGGTATGAAATACCTTTTTTGACAAGTTGAGGCAAGAAAACAATTCCCGGTAGTTGTATTTTTGCGGAATGGCTATTAAGATCAACATATTCAGCGCAATGATATGGTCCGGCCAACAAATCACACTGAAAATGATTAAATTTTTGTCAGTGAATATACTAAAGTATATAAGGTTGGGGCACATTTTTGAAAGATCACTCACTGGACAAAGAATAACTACCTACATTGATTAAGCTTCAAATAATCATGATAGCAACATAATTATATTTGTAGTCATTTTCAAACATTAAGGTAGAAACAATAAAAATTTGAATAACATCAATGAAAAGGGTTAAATTATTAGCCAAAAAGAATTTACTTGTGCCTCAACTTCTTCTAGATCAACACATCCAGAAAGAGATGCTTGTAAATGTATTTTCAAAGGTGAAGAAACATCATCAGCATTATTTTTCCAACGATACAATCTTAATTCGATATCTGGACAAGCTAAACATGTTTCATGGAAGTTCAAAAAGATATCGACGTGCGAAACGCGTAATCCGTGCTAAAATTTATCCGAAATTATATATATGGTCTTCATAACAGATGTAGAGAATATAAAATAAACAGCCTTATTACATATATTTCAAATAAAATTTAAGAGCCAGAAGAAATTAGTTATAAAGTGCTGAAAAGAATAACAAACCTGAAAATGGAGCAATTCAAAAATATGCAATTCACTCGAATGCCGACAATCTGATTGATAAAACCAGGTTCGATTCACCCCTTCTACTGGTGTATTTTCGATGAAATATTTTCTGATTCGCTGGTTTGCTGGCACTTCGCTCCATCCAGGTGGAGCCACGAGATGGTATCCCGGTTGTCCACCACTACAAAATATTCAGATTGTCATGCATAACTATCCACTTGCTAAAATTGAAAGAAAAAATTATACGAATTTAAAAGCTAATGGGAATGAAAACTTTAATGTCAAAAGATTTGTCATTCACTGAATTTACTAAGCATTTAGACAACAGTTATGCAAAAAAAGTTTTATTTTCCTTTATTTCTTTTTCTCTTCAGTCCCATTTAAAATTTCAAGTATTGTGGAAAAACCTGCTCAGAGAAAATAAAAGCCAACAGAAATCAGAAATTAACAGCCAGAACACGTTAAAAAATATAAACATTCTTTCCACACCTCACCACTTCATCGTCACAAAATTACAATCTAAAATTCTTGCACAACAAGAAGACAAATTTTCAGAACTTACAAATGATAGGGAGGTCGATAAGTAGCAGCTCTTACTGGTCCGCCAATATCACTTCTCGTTAACTTCCATATTCGCCGTAGACCTGCAGTCGAGAGATACTCTGATGCCACTATATCTGCCATATTACTACAGTTAGACGATATATTTCGCGCCATTTCTCGGTTAACGTCTGCATTTACTCCCAATATTTTCATACACGGATATAATTTAATAATAAAGAAACCATGCTTTTTCAGGGCAACTGACTAAGTAAACGCTACCAAAATAAATCAATTGATTCAATCAATGTTACTTGAACAGAATAAATTATCAAGTTAATGGAACAAGGGATGTACAACATGTACTTTTTGGTATATCTGACTGTTGTGAATCGCTCATCTTGCTAAATAATGCAGCTACTGCAGCGTCCTCATCTTCTTCATAATCTGCACTATGTGAACTCGATTGTTCAATTTGAACAGTTAGCAACTGAAAATAGCAACAGTGGAAGTTTTCAAAATTTAACTCCACTGATCCAATAAAAGAAACTGACACTGATCAAACAATTCGACTTACTTAATAGGTTACTACTCGAATATCACACCGATTGACAGAAATGAAAAACTATGTTCAAGCCAGGAAGAAAGCAGCTGAGATTTGCATGAATTCTGGAGTCATCAAAATTTAATAAGGCTTCTAAAAGGTTCATTAATCGAATAATATGTATCCTACAAAATACAAACTTTTCCTGAATTCCTCGTCAGTAGAGTGATTTTTCCATTACCCATAGCAGCAAATTGAGCCACTTTTTCATCACACAAAGGATACAGCTTATTCGTGTTAAGATTGATGAAATAAACCGTATCTTCCATTGTACGCTGAAAATCACTGAAGTTATTTTTCATCAAGTATGCACTTTTCTATTTATATATGTATATTCTTTCTTTTTTTCAATGTATATGTTCTTTATATTCTATGTACATATTCTATATTCTTACAATGAAGTACAAAGAATGTTCGTACGATTGCTCATGTGTAATAAAGAAAGGAGTATATGCATGTACTTTTTTCTCTTCTATTACAAATGAGCAAAAAGACTGATAAAATGATGTAGTTTCGCTGCAAGATTCTTTAAAAAAACCACAGATACATGAGAAAAAAATTTTGATCTCAATAGCATATTTAGAAAATCTTTATCGAAGAAAAAAATAATCAGCTCATAAATGACTTACAATAACTCCACCATCAAAGTAGTCATTATTGATATAGGATTCTGAACTCGTGTGAATAGGATCCATATTTGCTAGAGAGAACTGCATAATTCGAAAATCTTTGTAATAGTAAGCTTTTAGCGGTTCTTTCTGAAAGACATATTTCAGGATCAGTGGAAATGTTTAAAGTAATTTAACTAAAATACGTCATTTACCAATGCAGTAATTGATCCTGCGTTTAACTTTCTTGTAATTGCATTACATAAGAATTTGATTTTCGATATATAGAATTTGATTTTCGAATTCTTTGGACTACAGATATCTGACCTAGTTAGTACAAAAAAATCACTTTGATTTAAAAAGAGACACCTAAAGAATGAAAAGCTTTGATACTCATAAACTACAATTAACTTAAAAATTTGGTAGAAACTGTCAAAGCAAAAACCTGAAAACTGATAGCAATCTTTCCAAAATGAATAAGATATATTAATATTGCTGAATGAACTGCATTCAGTGTAGGTTCTATATTGTTAACTACAACAACCACGAAAATATTTTGCATTGGAATTATTGCTGATATCTGAAACTGATTGTTACTCAAATATTTTGTCAAAATACAATTTATTAATTCTTCACTTTGTTTTTCAGCACTTTTGAAATAATAAAGTTCATGATGTTTACAAAAAAACGCAACAAGCTAAGATGTGACAAATTTAATTGCAAAATCATCGGCAGCTACCAATATGTACCGCGATAACATTAATGAGTTTAACAGAAAAAGATAACAAACAAAGAATGGAAAAGTTACCTCCATTGAAGTATTATCAACTGCAGCTGGTAGCCTTAAACACTGTACGAAAGAAATATCCATCAATGGTGCCTCATAATTAACAGATACGTAACCCGTTTTTTCATCATATTTTGCATCTGTTTTCGATGGTCCATCTAATGCTTCATTTTCCTCTCCTACAAATCATAACTTTATAAATATGCCAGTGAAGCACCTTTGCTGATAAAACTGGTTGAACTAATGATAAACATGCTATATATGATTACAAAAAAAGGGATATCTTCCAAATGCAATACAACAACATTGAATGAATATAAAATTCTGGTATACATGTGCTGAAAAAAAGGAGTGGATAAACCGGTAAAATAAACAACCGGTAGGTAAATCAACAAAACCAGAATGCTCGCTATATGCAGAGTCGGACCACTCCAAGATTGCATCGTCAGTAGTGTCCATCAATAGCACTCCTTCGGTGAAATCAGCTTCGTCTGCATTAGGAGAATGTTTATTTTCGATCGGTTTTGAATCCTCTAAAATAAATTATTATTACCAAAAGCAAGGAAAGCTAGCTTTGTTCAGTTCTTTTTCTCACATTTCCACATATTACTAATCAGATACTGAATTGAAAGAACTGCCCAACTTTATATGTCACTTTTATCCTGATCATACATAGCCATATTTTGTTGCAAATGACTGATGAAAAGCATGTCGCATGAAAAGTTATCGAATCTCCATTAAACAGTAAATAAATAGGTTAGAATGGATAACTTTCTCAATTCAGCAATTTTTTTCTTGAATGCTTTGTAAAACCAAGAATCAAAAATACGCATGACAAATGCAATATTAACTATTCCATAAAGAAACCTTGGCGGGTAGAAGATGTGCATTTACGCGAACTGAAAGAATCTGCACAGTCAAGCTGGTAAAGAGTCAAAAATGGTCGGAGTGATGCACCGGAATTAATGCAATCATCGACAGAACGTGATCCGCTAACAATTCGTGGTGGTATATCGATAAATTCATAAGCTCTATTCATTGTATTTAATGTATTTATTTCAGTTTCCAAACTACTTTGGTTCTGGTCGCGTACTGTAATTATTTCAATATTTGATATTTCATAAATCTATTTTAAAAACACCTGGGCGATAATTGCTGAAAATATGTTTTTATTTCAGTACTATTAATCAGTGTTTTAATTCTAAATTAATTGAAAGTGAGTTTATTAGATATAATAGGAGTTATGGTACATTGTCCATTTGAAAAATATCCCACAATGCTAGCACTATTAAACTTTAACATACCTCTTTTAAGTTTTGCGTCATTTACGGAGACAGCGACAACCACTAAAGTTTGGTTCTGCTCATATGATTTCCTTGTCACGGCCCCTATAGAAGGGTCGTCAAGGCATGGTCTTCCAACCGTACAAAGAGCTGTTATAATAGTCTGTAACGAATACAATATGTAACAAATACAACAAGCCACAAGCAAAATTTTTGTAAAGTTATAAAAAAATTTACTGCGTCATTATACAAAAAAAAACCCGATGTTTGTATATTATTTTAACTATATAAATTAAGATATCTCTTTGTCTTCGTAAACAATTGGGAAGTTCACTGTAGTATATTTCAAATATTTCTAGTTTTTTCTTTAAAGAATTTGAACTGAGCAATATAGATGTATTAAATAAAGTAAGCAATTACTTCGCAATTAGCATCAGCCAGCAAAGCACACAGCGCTGGTTTCAGTAAACAGTCATCTGATGAGGATCCTGAAATATTTCAGGATTATATATGAGAACGCGACATAGTAACTTCGTAGATCTCTCCTAAAATATTTGAAGAATTACCAACCTTTTATACTGTTGTCCTGTTGCGCTTCTTCATCTCCATCAGTATTTATCAAACAATTTCTGAAACAATTCAAAATTATCTGAAATAGGGAATCTAAACTTGTAATAACTTTCTAATCCTAATTCAAAACAGCAGCATTCATTTACGTGAGATCGTCGCTCCAGGTGACTCTCTGAGTTCTGCGAGGAGGCAGATCGCCTTCCATCACCATACAGTCCAGAACAGCGGAAAAGAACTTCTCTGAATTCAAAGTAAACCACTGTTTTATCTAAAAAGAATCGATCCTTCAAAAGATTTGCGGGTATTTGAATGAATATCAAATGGTTCTCACAGAAATCCGCTATATTTCAATTCTATTTTATTTCTCGAGCAAATACGTAAATCTTGGAAAAACAGTTGCAAAAGCCATGAAAATAAAACGGAACATTAACCTGCACGACACTACCCATTCTCCACAGATATACTTCGGCAGATTCTTTGCTTGCTATAGCGATCCAGTCACCACTTCCGACCGAGAATACAAGTGACGATGTATGATTCACTTGCAAGTGATGAATGAATGGTGATAAAGCGGACATTGTTAAAACCAAGGGCACATTTGGATTAGTATAATTATGCACAAAGCGACACTTTGGCGAATGGCGTTCGTGTTCAGACCTAAAAACTACTAATTTGATGAAATTTTCGAAAAACTCTGGCTCCCATTTATTTCATTTATCTTAATAAAAAGATCAATTTTTACCATATAATTCAAAAATTAATTTAAACTTCGATTTTTTAAACTCCTTTTAATTAGTAATGCCCTTTCATTATGTGCATAATCTGTGCTCTGTATTCCATGAAAATGAGTTCATATTTATAATTCTTTGAACAAGTGTACTGTTCAGTAAACAAGTGTACTGTTCAAATAGCTTGGAAATTTAAGTATGTATATTTCAAGAGCTTCTCAAATTCATTCAATCACAAGCGTTATTTTCATTTTGTTTCACTTAAATAGAGATTATTATTTATAAAAATAGCACTTAATGAAATAAGTGCAGAGTAAGGTTAACTTGCAGCATTTTCCAACAACTACTGTTTAATCTATTTTAAACATACTGCACTTTTTCTATGACTCAAGACTGCATGCGTGATTTAATGACAGAGCGCGCTTTTTATCTATTTCTTTGATATTTCATTTTATTTATTTTAATTAATTTCATAGACATTAAATTCGAACTATACATTTTAATATTACCAAGGTTCATCTGAAGGTTCCCAACAAACCAAACAAACAAAACAAGAGAAACAGAGAACTCGATCATCGCCAGCATTATTTGGTTGGTGATAAAATCCTGCTTCGGCCATCTGACACGGAAGAGCCCATCTACAAATAAAGTTTTTTATGGGAACAATATGAGCATCTTTTTTTAGCCATTCTTACATCATAAAAGCTTAGAGACCTGTACTCCATATGAGGCCAATTTTGAAATGTAAGTCGACGAGCAGCTTCACTTGCCATCATGTCCTTATTTAGGCCTTTCCACTCTGGTGAGTATTCGAAGTTATAGGGATTATCTGGATTCAACATCAGCTGTAAAATGATTAAAACTTACCAAATTCCAAAAATAAAATCCAATCAAAAATTTATTTTGCAATTAAATTATATTTTAACAATTTAGATATAAATTTTAAGATAAAAAAACAAAAATCTACTCAAAAAAAATAAAAATGAGAACTTACTCGCACGCGTTCTCCAAGCATTGAAATATAAGGCCAGATAAAAGTCATCCATTCCCGTGGCACTTCTGTACTATTCTTTTCCCCAGGAGTTTCCAACGGTCGTAGTTGCTCAAGCAATTCTTTGCCGTTTGTTTCTACTACTACCGATTCCATCTATAATCAATATTTAATATAATTATTTTAACTCAGGGAATAAACAAGGTGCAATATGTTTTTCTGTTAATCTAAGAATTATATTTAAAGGAGCAGAAATAAAACTAGGCTTCCCTTCTTAACAACCCCTCCCACGTGTCCTATGGAATCTAATATGGGAAGACTAATATCATTTTCCCTATTATCATTTTTTGTCAATGTTGTTGTATCATTAACAGAAAATAAGTAAAAATGATTGAAGATCTTCTAAAGCTGTAAAAACAGCAGGGAGAATTATTGTCATTTTAGAAGAGTTACAAACCCGAATGTACTAAATCTGAGTTTGACAAAGTGCAGCATAAAAAAAGGTTGATGGAAATTTCAACTGTTATAAAAAGATTATTTCAGAAATTCGAGAGTAATATGTTAATAGTTCCTGAGAAGTTTTATACTTCAGAATTTCGTTCAAAAAGATTATGAAAAAGTATGTTCCAGAAATGAGCTTATAAATAACATTCAAAAAATCAATCAAGAATGGACATACAGTGTTAGCGGATACATTCGCAACTGCAGTGCGTAAATGCGATGTAAATTTATGGAGAGCAGGTCGATGTTTCAGAATATCTTCTGAATCAGGATCATTTGTGATTATCTGTAGAAATTTTGTGGCCTATAAAAAAGAGTTTATCTTGAAGACTAGTTAAAATATTTTTAGCCTTACTAAACATATTAAAAATGTAAGGTTAATAAATATGTATTTCAAGATACAAACGGAAAAATACTAGAAATTTTGATGAGAGAAAAAAAGAAAAATTTATTTCAGCATAGCTTTGTGACGTATTGAAAAACAGATGGTATTTTGTACAATGCAAATCAAATATCTACCTCGTCTAATGGCAATTCAACAGAAACAGTTTTATTTGATGGTCTCTTTAGTGCAGTTTTAAGAAGAAATGTACCGCCATAATCCTGACGCAAACAAAGCATTTTGGAATCTGCAACTGCCAGCGTATTGCTATGCTTATTATAAACTATCTGCAACACATAAATTTAATGAAGTTCATAACAGCTGTACAGCATTTTTAATAACTTGTCACACTAGGTGTTTTGCAGATTTTAAAGTTGAAATAGGCTACATTACAACTTTTCAACAATCCTTAATACTCTAGATTCATCAAAATCCATTCAAAACTCGGAACCGATAGAATGAATTAATCAAGTCTCAAAATCTTCAAGCATGCATCCAAATATTGATTAATCATATACCCGGGCATTCGGATTTAAACGATATGTAGCCAGAGGTGATGTGTTTTCAAAGGCTGCATCAAAGATCATTGTTAAGCCATTAATACACCGAAGCAGTATCTGATTCGTTCCATCTAGATAAAGTATTTCTGGCGAATTCAAGGCACTGTAACTAAGTGGCAACCTGCAACGAAGCAACAATCGTTTTCTACTAAAACCAATCGATAGTAACTTTACTTTCCAGTCACAGTACTTAGTCAAAAAAATCGCCGTCAATTTCTGATTTTACAAATTTAATCTTAAAAGCTAAAAAGCCAATATGTGAAAAAAACTTACTCCACAATTGGTATCACGACGAATCGTTCTTCATTGTTGTCTGAAGTGGAAACATTATCGTGGTGAATCAAATCAGCTAGTGCAGCAGCAACACATCGAATAGGATTACTGCTCATTCTTCTATGATATAAGCATTTAAATCACAGTGAGACAACGCTTGTTTTTTTTTTGCTATCCTGCAAAGATAAGATTATAAGTTAGCACAGTACACTCAAGGTAATAACTGGGCCATCATGCCTTAACAGTGCAATCTTGTTTTTAGGTATAATAGAAATTAATGAACAATATTAGTTGAAGCTATACAAATTTTAAAATTCAAAAAATTATAACTCACAATAATCACAAAAAAAAATCTTCAGTTTATGACGCGAAAACTAACTATGACGGATGACCTTATATTCTTTTAAAAGAACGTATATCTCCCAAGGATCCTAAATAAGCTCTAACCGCAATAAGCAAGATTTGTTTATTGCAGTAGAGCGGAATATGTATTCGTTCGTCTTTTTTAAAATCATTTTAGGTAAAATATATTCACTAAAGATGATATTCTGCATTTTTTTATTGTTTGTGACAGAAAGAGAGAGAAAGAGTTGTTCAAGTCATAAGTAAAAATAAGTGGTGGCTATTTTTTGTGAACTGGAATTGGAAGGACAATGCCAGATAAATAAATAAGGAGAAATAGGTGGACCCCATATCTGAAATGTAGAATCAAAATAACTGAAAGTATGTCTCGTAGTTAAGCGAATTTAATATTACATGAATCCACTGCCTAAATGATTTGAAGAGTTCAGGATTCAGCAAAGTTAGACGAATTTTTAAGACAAGAAAATTTTAACTTTCAAAAAGAATTCCAGTACAAAAAACTAAACGATTTGAGACTGTGAGCAGAAGAGTGCATTGTGTTTGCAGAGATTTGTAGCCAATTTATGTGAGTCGATTAGAATTAAACCGCTACATTCACAATCTAGGAAGCTGACTGCATATCACCGATAATATTAATCATCGAGATACGATAAGTTATTGAAGGGAGATAACACAGATGTCATCAATTTTCCCTAATTATTGCAAAATTTTCCCACAATTGTTTGCTCTCCTGACATATCGCCACCCTTCAGTTCGCGGGAAAAATGAACTAGTAGCCCATACGATACGCTACTTCATTTCAGTCAAACCTTACGTGGCCACGTCAATAGCTCTCCATGAAAATCACCGTCTCCCCAGCCGTGACAGTACGATATCATTCTTCTCAGAAAAGATTCCTGGATGAGGTCGGAAGTTTTGCACTGTTAAAAATGGAGTCGATTCTCGCGATGTGCAGGATAGTCCTACTAATCATCTCTTAAGAGTAATGTGCAAGGAATTATGGAAGGGTGAGTCGAGAGCCACGCAAATATCCTGTTACTGCTTGGTGTCAAGTGTTATCGTTTAATTGAAACACATCAACGCTTGAGCATACGCTTGTGTAGTAGAAGTATATTAGTGGAGCTTCTTCATAATCTTACGAGTGTTCCTTTTCATCTGTACAATCTCTAAAGGACTTCTGAGAACCTAATGCACATGCTGTAAGTGAAAAATGGCTACAACGAGGGAGCCCTTATCAGTTCTCTCCATAGGTATTCTATGAACCTTTTTCACTTCAGCAATACTATCTTAATATTGCCTTCTTGCCAATAAAACTTTAGACACAATTTAAAGGACGCTGAGAACTTCGTTCGGATATCAATTGTATCATTTAAAAGTCAACTAACACATTTGCACTTGTAAAATATAGAATGTTTGGAACATTCTACAGTCCTTTTATACTTCTTTTGATTCATTGAAAAATAACATTGTCAATAAGGCCTCGACATAGTAAACATATAATAAAATTGAAAATTGTTGATGAAAGAAAAAAAGAAAATTATGCGGAAATAAATTCCGAAAAACCGTAAGATTTCCAGAACTGATAAACATAAGGCATTAAATTATCTCATACATGATCACAAAAGAATAAAGATGACATCATGATGGCTTTAATATTAGATAAGTATAAATTAATCGGATAGCATATCAAACTTTTAGATCATTCGTGTGAATAGTCGTACAGAATTTTTTTTGTTAGAAAGACCTGGCAGTGTTATGCGCTTGTCATAACAAAACAAAGATAACTAGAGAATGGAACTTGGGAAAAGAAGAGAAAAAACAAAATCATTATTCAAAGAAAGCGTCTTTTGTACTGCGTTTTTTGCCAACTGGAACTTGGAAATCGAATAAATCTTCTAAACAACAGATTTACGAAAGCTATATTTGAAATATACATCTAAGCAAATCATACTCATAGAAGCAACAAGTGGAATCTGGAATACTGGCTTCGCATCGCAGCTAGTGCTGCCAAATAGAAATATATTTTTTCCATCGATTTCATCTTTTTTTATTCTTGTCTACCTATCGATAAAGTCTTTCACAGTTCCTATTTCTCTTTTATGCTTGCGTCATGTCATTCACTTCATCACTTCAGTTATTTTTATTAGTACTAAGCGCATTTGTTTTATGTTTATCACACATGTTGGTGCATTTCAGTAAATTCTGATCAATTCAGATAGCATTCCGCTTGAATCAAATCCCGCCGATTGAATCAAAAACACCACTCCGTTGGTCGGGTATGATTTTCGCATTTGGTTTGCAGTAACTACGCTGGGGTATTACACTTGATTTCATAATGTAAAGTAATTCTCACTTTTTCTTGATTCTTTCAGTTTTCCACTTTTTTTTCTTTTTAAGGCATATTATTCTGGTTCATTAAATGACAATAACCAGACAGTGATTTTCATTTTCTTTCCCCCAGCTTATTCACAAAGTTGTATTATTTTACAAAAAAGGTGCCAGGTGTACCTGATATCACTAGCCTCATGAAATGGAGCATTTGAACGGGCGTACATTCTTCCAAATCGTGAATACATGTACACTGGAACGATTAAACTGTCAATAAACATCACTTCAATAATCACATATCACCGGTTTGATAGCACCGTATTATTGATATTTAAAATATTTTATTGCATCGTCACTCCGAGAAGACACGCATGCGTAGTATGTGTCATCGACGTTCACGCGTTCGTTTTTCGTAAGTGAGAAGATTATAGAAAACCATTAACAGGAAAATATTCGCCATTGAAAGCACGAGTGGCATTTTCCACCGTATTATCCACGCCTACAATAATGGATACATGCTTTTCCGAGATGTAAGGTTTCTTGTTCAGCATCAATGACCGTATAAATAAATCTTTTCAAATTATTACGATGTACAGCACTGAGAAATTTAAAGTTGGTTAGCAATAGAAAATAAATGAATAATAACGGCATAACTATATGTTCTGCTGACAATTTGTAATACGGTACCTTCACTTCAATGAATATTTATAATTAAAGAAATAATGGGCTAAAACAATGTAATTTCATATTGTTCTACATTCCCGCAGCATTCATATAGCTAAAAGAGACAGCGAGAATGTGAAGTGTAGAAGTTTGAAGAAATCCTAAAATTTTGTCAATAAAGAAATTATGTTTCACCGAATTTTACCAAAATTTGTCGCTGATAAGAAATTAGGCAAGCGATAAATGTAATTTTAAAACCTGTGAAAGATAGTAGTCTATACGACAAAAAAGAGGAAGACTAACCCTAAAAGCAGGATGAAACAAATATCGGAGAGGATTACTACGCAATAATTGTTCTTCTTCGAGAAGGCGTTGCAACTCTTGGCGCTGTTGCGAAGCAAGTCGTGCCGCTTCCTCTCTCCTCAGTTGCACCCCAGATACTTCAAGTTCGACCAAATTTGGCAATGAACCACGTCCTTCGACTTCTTCGAATCCATCGTCACCACTACTACCTCCTCCTCGTCCTCGTCTCACAGCATCTTCTAATCGTTTATCACTAGCTGTTGCTAACGTCGACCGCCTATATAAATTCTGCAACATTCCACTTGCAAATTTCGCTAACACCACATCAACATTAAGAGAGAGAAACAAATTAGAAATATTCAAGTCTAGAAGAGTTTAGTAAATCTAATATACTCTTTACTAATTTTGCTGATTTATCCATATCACATTTAGGTTTAGGACAACATTCAAGAAACTAGAATATTAAATGTCAAGTTATCAGTACCAATCTAAAGCTTATTTGCATTCTTAGCAACTACCATTATAAGTTTGTTTGAAGAGCTTTTGCTCAGCCTTTTTTGGTGAAATTCCCACTAAAATTTGGAAGAGTAACTATTGTCATCGCCAGCAAAATAAATTTCAAAGGTAATCAATGGTTGAAGTCTTTTAATTCAAAATAGGAGAAGCAAATTCCTTGCCTGCGAAATATCATGAACAGCGAAAGGTTGTCTGGTGAGTGAAGGCCTATTCCTCTGTACTAATCCACTTTTGCTAGTATTTGCAAATATCATGTATTGATCGTAGTGATCATCACTGAGAGACATTCGCGAATTGCTTTGAGCTGTATTCGTATTCTATAAAATGATCAAAATGATATAGCAATCTTATTACAATCATAAAATTCACATTTTCCTTGCTTATTCATGATAATCTGTATTACATTAAAAATCACCAATCACTTCAAGTTCAGATGTCATTCACATCGAACAATCATTTAATTATGAAATCGTTCCTCCCCATAAACAAATACTACTACTGATATATTTCTAAATAGCAATTTGCATTAACTTAACACTCCCATTCTGTATTTCATCGTGGATGAAATTATTTTAGTACAAACAATGGCGTAGAGGCCTTATCTTTAATGTTTGATTGGTCCAATGCTTGTCAAATAGAAAAGTTAGATAAAGCCGCTGTGGAAACTCACGTGCAATTTCGAAATTATTTGAGATTATGGAATACCTGTAACAAATTTCTAGAAGAAGCTGGACTAATATTTTGAATGGAACGCGGATCCGTAGTGCCATTACTGAACTGACGCTGTTGTAATTCACCAGTAACATTAGAGGTCGTGTTATTTGCTTGCTCTGAAGATGTGATATCGGAATGAAAAATAAACGACTGCTGGTCTGGTATTGCAAATTCTGTACCTGGATATGAAGCAAGAACATTTTGATGGTGATGTTGCTGTTTCTGCTGATATTGATGCGATACTTTGACATTGTGATGAGGCGCTGTATTTGGATGACACGATGAAGAGGAGGAAATGTAGGGAACCTGAACGACCGGTAAAGGTGTACCCGAAATAACAGGAAGTTGAGTAGAGGACTGATAACCGCTAGCAATCTTATGTGCTGAAGAAACACTTGGCAACACTTGATAAGAAGTTGGACCAAATATGGAAGTTTGTTGTGGACCCGCATAACCAATTGAATTAACATTTTGTTGTTGTTGTTGCTGCTGCTGATAGACCGATGCTACATTGCTAGCCTGAAATCCAGAACTACTTTGATAGCCACCAGGATTGGATGACTGATGATGCTGCTGCAGTGATGACGACATGAAATCCACATCTGAATTAGCCATAATTCCTTGCTGATAGGAATTCATATTAACCATTAGCTGCTGAGGTTGTTGGTATAGCGTACTGTCTGGAGTTTGTGGTTGTTGTGATGGTGAGTAAGTAATATCTGGTGTGGCACTTGGTAAAGAAGGAGGATTCAAGATAACAAGTTCATCGGAGAGGTCACGTGATTCATGAGAACTTTTGGAAGTGGGCGGTGAGTCGAAAGCGACATGATTTGCGCTAGTAATAGTACCAGCACTATGTTGCTGTTGCAAGCAATTCATTTGCATTCGAATCGCTTCTGTATTGGATTGCCTGAACTCAGGAGCAAACTGCTTTGCACACAATCTAGCTGTGTCGGCATCTTCACGAGCTTGCAATGCTATATAGTCGGCTTGCTCCGAGCGTTCTTTAGCTGTTGATGTTCGCGATATAGCTATGTCTGCCTAGAATTCTTCACAAAATTTATCACTACCTGACAGAACTTTATTCATTGATTTGCTACGGATTTTTCAATACAGTGATAGTCGATAAAGAGATAATGAATGCAATAAAGGAAATAGCATTATGCTGAGTGTCAGTTCCACAGTAAATCAACATTCAAATTATTCCTCAATGTTTTCTTAAGTCTCTTATCTGTTTAGCTTTTATAGTGTAAAAATTGCTAAACAAAGAGCTGACGTTTCTTCCATCAATAAAAGATTTTTTTCATATTAGATCTCATTATTTAAAGAGATGTTCAGAAAGAATCTAAGGGTGACAAGAAAACTTGCGTTGAGATTCCTATTCGGATTTCCATATTTTCCAGTGGAATCAAATAAAAATTACAACAAGTAAACATCCCTATCTTTTTTTTAACTGCATTGTACTACACAGACCAGAAAAACGGTCATGTGAACAATTATTATTTTACGCTTTGAATGTTTTCCAGTAAAATAATGGAAGAGACAAACCTTCTGTTGAGCAATAGTGGCAGCACGATTGGCAGCTTCAACAGCATTTCCAACACGTTCTTTAAATCTTGATGAGCGTACAAACAACAATCCCTTCTTACGGTTTGAGCATATTAATACATTATTTTTATATTTCCCTTCTTCCCTCCTACAATATATACATATTTAATTCTTGCTGGTTACCCATGTCAACAATGAAATGTTTTGTCCGCTAAATAAACAGTGTTTAAATGATTTAAATTATAATTCTATGTTCTTTCCCCTTTCATTGATATCTTGATAACTTAAACAGTGGCTGAGCCATTTAAAATATTTGGAAGCAATATAATAAAAAAAAGTAAAAACGAAGTAGCTAAAATGGCAGGTAGTATACAATGAACAATTTCTTAGCAAATGCAGCCGCATCTTATCAGTAATAATTTATTTCCCTTTATTTTTCCACTAATCCTATTAAAACAAAGCTTTACATCCAACAACATTTAGACTTCTTGCTCATCTAGTCGAAGTATGCTAAAACATAAGCAGAGCATGTTATTAATAAATCGGACTGTTCAAAATTCTAGTTAAGTAAAGTCTGATTAATATGCATCCATTAGTATCAACACAAAAAAAAAGTAAAATATCTTTGTCGGACATTTATCATTAATTTATTTTTATTCATTCATTATTTTTCAAGATAGCTGTCTAATCAACCAAAGTATGTTAAGAATCGTCGCTGTTTTATATACAACGAAATTTTGGGATCCATAGTCAATTATTCTATGGGTAAGAGTTTTTGATCAATACGATAACTATTTGCATACTTGATTTAATTCATTTAGAATGCAAGCATCTCTTTCATATTACTGGAATAGTTAACTTACCGGCCATCTCTAAAAGTTGTAATTCCATAGCCACATTTTCGATTATTAAACCATTCCCCTTCATATTTCAGCCCATCACTTCGTTCACCAACTCCAAATCCACATCGTTTGTCGTTTTTCCACTCACCTTTGTAAACTTCAGTCGTATTCGGATCAATGTGATCTTCCTAAAATTATCTTGTTCATGAAATGATTATCGGATTACACAATAAATACAAATGAATAATGTTTAATAAATGCGAGATCGTTTTTTTAAAGCAATATAAGTCACAAAATTCAAGACTCAATTGTGAGAGGAAAATATGCCACTGGAAACTAAGTGTGTTATAGTAGAAGAACAGAGAAGAGAGATGAACATGCTAAAAACACACGTAGTACCAGATCATGCAAAAATAAAATACGATATTTCAGTAATAAATAAAGTAATATTTCTATCTTATTTCACTAAAAATATAAGCCACACGGAAATTATGTCCTCAGCTATTCGATTTTCTTTAAACCTATTATTTAATGTTAGCAAATTCCAAAGATAATGAATTACTTGAGTTACGATCAGATTTTCCCGTCCTTGCCGGTGTTCTGATTCGTCCGATGTACAGCTTACTGTGCTACCGCTTGACCTTAAACTTCCTACAACAAATCATTTTAATCCTTTTTGACTAAAATGGGAAAGCTATAATTACAGATCTGCTTCTATTACAAGTTTGACCAAATTATATCGAATTGAACAGAGACAAGTACTATTATGCTTGGTGATAATATAATGAAATGTAACACCTTCACCTCTGTTAATGGCCCAACTCCATTTAATACATAGTTACAGATTATGAAGTCGCAGTACTGGAATTATGAATTCTAAGCAAAAAGCCTTAAGTCTGTAGCTATTCAATGTTAAGAAATAATTCCTTAAAAATAAATAGCTTCAAATAATTATCTTCTCGTTATTGTAATACAGATAAAAGATTCGAACTCACCGGTAGTGACACGTTGATGTATATCACCAGTTGAATGTTGCTTTTTGATTCGTAAACCACTTAGAATGGTTCGCTTCACGGCTAATGAACGCTCCGAAAGAGACCGACGCCTGGTAGGTGCTTTACTGCAAGCTTTTAGCACAAAGCCACCTCGATTCTCATCTGCTTCATCTACAAATTTTTTGAGAGAAAAGTTTCTGAAGAGAACAAGAAATATAAATAAGAAACAGATATTAATCTATTCATCAAGTAAATTAGGTCCATCCGCACTGAAGTATCGAAATAGTGACAGCACATTGTCATTGAGATAAGCATGTTATCTCAGATGAAATTTTGACATATCTGTAAATTTAAAAACTTTGAATTTTTTTCAAACTTCAAAATCTAATTTTAAGCTGTAACTAATCCCAAACCAAATACTTTACTCTTAAAACGGTCCATTAAATTCAAAAAAAATCCGTCCCACAAGTTCATAGGAAAGTGCAGTGATAAGCTAAACTAGCCATTTTGTAAAAAACTGCTTCAATACAACAATTATGATGTTGTAATGAAGTCAATAATTCTAGAACAATTAATATTCTTTGGAAAGATTTCAACTTATTAAAATTTGTTCAGTTTGTTTGAAAATTTCTGAGATGATTAACGAAGCCATATGCTTTTTGCACTGCTCATTTTCCATCAACTCTGTAGTAGCACGAGCTGGCTGCCAGTGAGGACATCCTCTTCCTCCCCTTCAATCTCCGCTCCCACACTTCGCATTCCTCCACTTTAAAACACAATCCATTGCTTCATTCTAAATAACGGATAGATTTATACTCTCACCACCAATCCAATACGCTCGAATCGCTGCACACACGCTTCCCAATATGCTGTATGTTGTACCAAAGAGAACCACCACATACACACACATCCACATGCGTACACCCACATGCACACATACCCACATGCACACACACCTACACACTCACATGCATACACACTCACACACCCACGTGCACACATACATACAGACAGAAAAAATCATCGGCAACATATTGTTACACTCTTTCGCAGTCTACTGCCAGTAGCGAAGTGATAAACTGAACCCTGAACTCTGAACTTTGTCCAAAAATGGAACTGTATCTGTTGTGGAATTCGAAAATGGCACTAACTCCGAAATCAAATTTTAAATTACATAATTGTATGCAGTAAGGTGCTGCTACTATCACTACTATTACTATTGCATTTGTAATAGGATCAAATTAACTACTTTGTCAAATTAAGATTGTCATGCAAATTCAAAATGCAATTGAAATTTTGAAGCTAAAATGAAAAAAGTTAACAATAATTGCAAATAACGATCTGAATAATTACGCAGTGAACGTTTGAAACAATAGAACGTTTTAAGTTTGCGTGCTGAATTATAGAATTTAATAAGGACAAAAATTCGTAGTTAAAACGAGAAAAATACCGTAATTCCTCTCTTTCTCCTCACTCTCGCCATATTCAGACCTCAGTGAAGTAAGAGATGCGTTTGTGCGTGATCGGGATCGAAACTTCGCAGCCACACCGTGTTGAGCACTTTTCCGGATGCCGTATCCATGTCGCATACCACGTAACCATTGTCCTTGATAAGCACCTGAAATTCACTTCCCTTATTTTATTCAACACTATCCAAATGTTCTTTGATTTTTAATATCAATGTCAGAAACTGGAATGATTAAGGAATTAAGCAGAAGGCTTTCATCTTATACTTCTGACTTCCTAAGTGATACCATTCTGTTAATTTTTCCAAAAATGAATTATTTAATTAATTTTCGTCCAAATAATTGAGTTCGCACTATTATCTACCAAAAAAAGTTTATTTACATTTCCTGAATCCTTTTTGCATCACCTTAACTAAATCTTGAGATACTCAGAGTAAGAGGTATATCCTAAGTACAATGCAATGTGTTAATAAGATAATAGTGAAATTTCCATTTTTTCCTAAAGATTTAACTGATAATAAGAATAATCATATATCAAAGCAAAAAAAACTAAAGATAACCATATATTAAAACGGATAATATCAAAATATTTTTATTGTAAATGAAAGATAACGATAGAATAACTGATAATACGTAAACATAGAAAAGAAGTGTTGTTTGAGCATTGTTTGACAACAAATTTGAGCTCACTTCTTATTATTTAATTTACAAATTATTAAGTGGTTTGAGAATCTTTGTGCATCCTATAATTTTACTTCTTATTTTTCATTTGAAAATTTTGACTTCATTGAATGGTTAGGATTCTGTTGAGATCAGAAAAGACTCTGGTACTAACTGCGCAATAGATGTAAGTATTATTCGGCAAAGTGATTTTTTTAATCCTAGACTTTTTTAAAAATATGATTGCTAAAAGTAAAACTACCACTTGTTTAATGATAAAGATACCAACCTCCATCGACGTAAGTTTCCGTACCATAACCATCGTGAAACCCTGCGGACCAGGTACCCTGATACCTAGCCTGTGAAGTCACCGACAACCGGTGTCCATATCTACCTTTGTATCCTTGAGTCCACTCACCCTTATATATCCAACGACCGCGTTGCTCGACTCCAAGCCCATGTCGTTTCCCGTTTTGCCATTGACCTTGATAAGTGTTTCCAGATGGCCATGTATAAACTCCAGATACCTGAATTATTGTGCCTTTCATGTTTCATACTTGTAAATAAATTATAATGTTAATCCTTTCATAAGGATTAACGAATTTTTAATGTAGAGAGAAAAATTTTTTATAGTATCGATGTTTTATTTTTTTAAAAGCAATTCTTAGTTGACATTATGATTTAATTACAAATAAACAATTTCCTAGCAAGTGCATTTTGTTTGGATATAAGTAATAGAAATTGCTCTTCGAAGCAAGGATATTCCATCCCGCACCTTTTAGAACTTTCTAACTTCTGATGTTTCCTCCACGAATTTTCAAAATCTTTTTCTGAATTTAGTTCAACTTGTTTTTTTCTCAATTTCTAAATGTACTATAAAAGGCTGAAAAATTTGTCCAGCTATTGCAGCTAAAATGAATCGAGCTAATCGGAATAACCTATGAACCCATCATGCATCTTATATCGAGTCATTCATGAAATTTAATTTTGTTGAGAATTATGATCATTACCAAATTACAGCTGTTATATCCTTTGAAGAATATTTGTATAAGTAATATTTATCAAACTGATAATTGATGAGCAGAACCTTCCCTCAGTAAACACTGGGAGTTCAGTGTTTACTCATTTAATTTTCCAAAAAAAAGCACCTCGAAACCGTAATGCCAAGCTCCGGCATATTCGCCCTTCCCTTGGGGACCCGTGCAAACGCCATGCCCGTGAGCTTTGCCTTCTTCCCAACCTCCGCAGTAGGTACCGCCATCATCAAAATCAAATCTGCCACCGTTCATCTCAATGCCATCAGCGTACCACACCTCATACTCGATTCTGCAGAAAAATACATATATAAATTTTGAATTAAATGGAACGTCGCAGTGTGCAAAGGTCAAACGAACGAGATTGTTGGAGCAAAAAGTTGACATAATCGCTACCTAAATGTCATATATAGCTTGTTAATTAGTAGTAACAGACATAAATAAATAATTGAATATCTAAAAGTACTAATCTGAATTGTATCTCATCCATGCAGCATTTACATAATTACATCAGTTTTTGAAAGCTGCTATCGGAATTAATAAACCATTTGGTGAAGTGTCAGATAAAACTAGCACTTTTGCCCCAGTGATTTGTGTTTATAGGATATTATAGCAAAATGTTTTGTAATTTCATAAAATAATTAACATAATTAATTTCACGGAATATAGAAAAATAGAAAAAAATGATTTAAAAATAAAGCATTACTTTCAAGTTTTTTTTACCAATAAATACAATTGATCAATAACACATCTTAATTCTCTTTGCAAATAGTTTTTTTCTTGAAGTTTTGCAAATAAAAAGACTTGTTGCATCATTAAGATAGATAAGAGTTTTCCAATAAAAGGATGAACTTTTTGCCTTTCTGAAAATAAATCAAAGTGAAATGATTCGTCAAGCATTTCCAATCCGATTATAAAGGAATATTCCGCTCAGTCAATACAACTAATAAGTCGAACTGTAAGTGGAAAATGATAATTTACTGATTACATCAGTTATTACAAAACTAATCGGAACTATTTTCGTTCCAAAAGAAATTATGAATTAAAGAGAAAATATCCTACCATTGCATTAGAAAGCTATCATATTAGTATTATATGATTATTAAATGATCATGTCCATTAATTCAACTCATTTAATCATATGCTACCTTACTTGATGTATTTCTTTTTAACTATCCTCCATTTCTGAAGTATAACTGAAAGCAACAGAGCAAAGCATTTCGTTTTAAGTCCAAGAAGATGATAGATTTGAAAAAAAATTGGATTGAAAAAATATTTCTTATTACCTTCTTCTGCTTAGAATGGGCTCCAAATTGAGTAATTTTAGAATATAAAATGATGTCACCTCGTAAAACGTTCCTTCTTCGAGATCAACTTCCTCAACAGCAGAACTACATCACTTGTGAAGTACCCAAACAGACATCTCATCTTCGAGCGAATTTTTTTAAAAGAAGTGGTCATTTTTTCCTAGATTGCTGCATTCTTGTTGAATTGTTGTGATTTACAAGTGTACGCAGAATGAGAAATAAAAACTCAAAAATTTCAATCTCAACTCTTTCTCTTTCTCCCCTTCTACCAGATATTTTTGAATTGGGGGAGTGTGAGATAGCATATCATTTCTGAAGAGAGTTATATTACTTAGGACAGCGAGCAATACTATTCTCAATTAAGTTCTATTTAACTTGAAGGTGTATATAAAACAACTCCTATATAATTTAGATGAAACTGTCAGAAGTGCAAAACAGAATTAGTATAAATCATTGAATTATTACAAAAAATTACTAATTTACGAACAAAATTACAGGTGATGCTTTCTTCTGTAGAAAGATATGAAATTCTAATATAACAAAACAATTAGTAATTATTTCATATCGAAAAAATGTTATTCAACCAAAATTATGTTTGTTTGAAATTTGAGCCAGAAATAACATACATTCAAAGTCATAGTAGTATGTAATCTAATAACACTGGAAATATTTGTTTAAGCTTTGAATACCTGAACATTTAGTATAATAGATATGCTGGACTATTGAATATCAAACAAAATGATATTTAAAAAATTTTGAGTATATCAAGATGATATGAATGATTGTTTGAGATAATTGTACTTTTAACTTAACAAAACACTTATGTAATTGTTGAAATTGGTATTCGATAGTTTTCGTGAGGAATCGTAAGAGAGAAAAAGGAAAAATAAATATTTGCTAATGTAACACAAAAGGAACAAATGACTTTTATTGAAAATAGCTTTTTCAATTCCTTGAGATCAATTGGTAATTTCATAAATCTTTAAATTATTTCAAATTGCCAGAAGTATTTCCCTTTTTGTAAGCGTAATTTGACAATTGTGAAATATTAACTGATGATTCGAATTTATTATTGTTAATTTTGAGGCATCTCTTCTACCTGCCGAAATTTCAATTCAAATATGATTAATTTCACTATCTTTTAATATAAATCACATTTTATATGATGCAAAATGATTGTGATAAAATGCAGTTTTCTCAGATATGGTAAATAATCAATGTACTTCGATAGCGGAAGTTTCGTCCATTTGAGAAGTGAAACAAATTCTTTATGATTAAAATTGAAAATAAGAAAGTGAATTATTGGAATGAGATATAATAACAGTAGAAAAAAGTTGCAAAAATGAAAACTGCAAAATTAAAAATAATTTAGGAAAACCAGATTTGCAACTGAATAGCGACAAGTGGCTTAATGGACTGAGTGAAGGCTGTCAGGATTAGAACTTACTACAGCTATGTAAGGCAGTAGTAAGAAATTTCAAGTGCATAAAGATGTGTAATAAAATTATTTTACATACATGTAAATATAATTTTTTTCCTGAAACGTTTGAAAAATTAGGAACACGAAAAATGTTATTCATGACAGTTATCAGAAGATTGATAAAAAATTACAATTTTAAACTGTCCGATTGGCATTAGACCTGAAAAAAGATCCAGAAAATCAGAGTATGATAAAAATCATAGCTTATGAGAAACAAATGAGATTCTCAATAATGAGACAATTAAACCACTGTTATTTCAAATATAAAAAAAAAATAAAGGAAGGAATCTGAGAGAAAGTAGGAACAAAAGTTGAATAAATCTGTTCAATTCATGCACTTTTAAATCAATTGTTTTCAAAAAATTAGCGTCTTTGATCCCATTTGTGTATGAAATAATCTTTGAGGATTTCTAAGGAAAAGTTAACGAATTAACTGAAGGTGAACAGGAAGATTAATTGACTTTTCATCTCGAAACATTTTAAATTAACCAACTAAAATTCAAAAAGTTAAAAAAACTGTTATTTTTCCTTCAACATAGAAATGTCTTTACCGTACACTTCCACGCTTTTTAACTATGAAAGTTGCAAATAATAATTACTGTGAATAAAAAAATTACTTTGAAAATACAAATATGAATACTATAATAGTGAAATTGTGGAAGTGAATAATGGGAAGAAGGAGGAGAGGGTGGAAAGTAGGAGGTGTGAGGGAAGGAAGTGAGATGGTTGACATTTTAAAATGACTTACCGAGTTCAACTGAAGTCAAACAGATATACACACACACACACATACACGGAGAGAGAGATATGTAGTGGAGAGACAGTAAAGTAACTCAAAAGGATTCAGTGTGGAAGTTCCTCCTCTACTTCAAGAACGAATGTAATCAATGATGATTTCAGGGGAGTGAGATTTCTACACTCCTCATTTATTCACTCCCTCTCAAACACATTCCAGTGGAATAGGATTGATTAATCCAGAAGGAAGCTATCGCCGGATGGTTGTTGCTTCAGCTGCTTCTTACTTATATTGCGCCGCAGCTCCGTGTTCCTCCTCCTCTTCCAGCCAGCCAGTCACAACTTATCACTTCTCTGTGTATCTATGCGTGCGTGTGTGTGCATGTATGAGTATGTGTGCGTGTGCATACACGTATTCATACGTACGAATATGCAGATTCTTTATAAATACTAAATAAAATCTAGGAGGATCAACAATCTTCGATGATTAATAAGCGAAGCGAAGAGGAAAGAGGAGATAAGAGTAGAGGAAAAGGATATGAGGCCAAAGTGAGGAAGAAGTGGCCAAGGATTTTTCCTTCACCATCAAATTTGATTTCAATTGGATTATTTGTTGGATAAATGAATGAATCCAATAGAATCAGTGCTAACCGGAGTGGTATTCAGCATAATTATTGCATAACCACTTAATCGATTACAAATTGTATTTTAGACTAAAGGAAGACAAGAGGTGCATTTTGATAATGCATAAAATAGCCTAGGAAAATGTAAGAGGACAGCCTAACTATCGACCATTAAATGTTAGTTTGCAGTTAACAAAACTTCCACTCTCACACTCAGTCATTTATAGCTTAAACTCGACGAAATAATGAAATGCTGTTTGAAGTACGCTTAGGCAAAAATGCTTCTAAAACTTTGATGCAAACATACATAGACATACACACATGCACAGACATACACATACACACATACATAGATGATGATGTATAATACATGCTTACATGTGTTTTAAAGTATAAGCAACTGCTGAAGAGGAAGAGAGAATGGTAGGTGGCAGGAAGGGAAGGGACGAATCAATGAAAGTATAAGAGAGTTTAAATCATCTACATAAAAAAAAAACATACAAGTTTAGAGTGAGAATTTTGTTAGATTCTACATATTTTCTATCTAACAAAATTCTCGCTCTAAACTTCTACGCTTCTTACAGCTTCACTTAGTCCGCCACTTTATTTTTCGCTTCATTCAAAAAGCATAAAAGATTGCTCAAACTCTGACCCTGTCTTTTAGCATATATATCCCAGTAAATCTCTTAACTCATATTGAACCACACAACACTTTTCCTGGATTGCTACAACGAAAGCGAAACATGTTAGCCATGATATGATTGCCATGTATACACGGATGGTATTGAAGAAATGATAAAAGAATGTTGCTAGTTTGCATTTGATTTGTTTCAAGAAATTGGGGTAAAAATGATTAATAAAGGTCGTTTTGGAGTATTATTGCTAGGAAATTGAGGATCAGCAAATTTGAAACTTTGAATCGAAGAAAAATGCTATGCCTCAGATCGATTAACATGCTTAGGAAAAAAGTGAATGGAGCAGATTTAGTCGTGGGAAATAAGTTATCACATTAAGCATGCTAACACTTTCAGTATGGTTCCCGCATAACCTTATACTGGATATTGTTTAAAATGCCAAGGTATCTTAATATGGCAGCCTTTTTGTTGTACTTATGCAAAGATAAAATGAACTTATTCCAGCAACGAAATTGAGAACTATCAATTACAGTCATCTATCAATTATCAATTACGGTCATCTAGAAAAAAAACTATCAATTACAGACATCTAAAAAGAAAAACCTTTAAGAAAAAATCTTGGTAAACAATGATTTTTGAAACAATAACTTGTAATGAATCTCATGAAAATAATATCAATCTTTCTACTACTATGATTTTCATGGGATCCATTGAAATCATAAATTTAGTCAATTTCAAAAATAGAAAATTGTTCACTATGAATCTTACTTATCCCTCTTTTAATTTCCACAACATTAACAAATTATTTAATCGTATTGTTTTTCACTTACTCTCATTAAATTCGAAGCAAAGTTTTGTCAAACAAAAGCAAAATATAAATGTATCGTCCCAGCAGTATATGATTGACTTATAGTTAATCAGTTCTGCTAAAATTCAAATTTCAAACATCTTCTTTTGCCAAATGCTTATGATTATTATCTGCACTTCCATTAATTTTGTTTAATACAAAACCTTTAACGCAGCAGTAATTATAATTTAGTTGGATGTCATTTACTTCATCAAACTTCGTCATATCATTTGTTATTACCTTTGAGTGACAAATTAGAAAATACGCCTTTCTGTCGTTATCAATAAAATGTATTTAAACTTCGTGTTATTTGCATCGAATTGCTCTAAGCGGCAAAAGATTATCATAAATAGAAAAGGAAAGAAAGAGAGAATGAAAGAGAGAGAGAGAGAGAGAGAGAAAGAAAGGAATTCTAAGGGCTTAATCTAAATGTCAAATAACGCCTATGAAATAAATCTAAGCTATATGATGCTAAAACATAAAAAAGGGATAAAATTAAAATTACGCAAGAAAGTTAAAAGTTTCAATAACAATTATTATTATGGTTTTATCATTATTATCATTCGAATGCATTTTAATTTATGAATAAATAAAAAGATTAATCTCATTTATTCTTTACTAAAAATAAGGTGACAGCTTGTTTACGAATTCAAATCATTTAGTTGTTATGTTCAAAAACACACAATTTCGCACGCACACTACTAGCACTGAATAATTAAATAGACTTCAGTGAAAAGCATTTATGTTTTAACGTAACGAAAGTAATCAATAGCAATAGTTAATTTCGAGCATTCCAATCAAAGTAAGAACAACTGTCACAATAACCGCAACACATACGTTATTTCTTAGCTGTGCAATTTATTTCTCCCGCAATTTTTCCCCTTTTTTTGATGACAAAGGTAAAATGTTGTTGAGAGATATTGTGTGATAATATTTTTTTTAACAGCAATTATTTAAAAATGCACGCAATTATTTAAAAAATGTACGTTAACAAATAAACAAAACTTCATTTCAATTACAGATTTTTAAAAAAAATATTAGTAAATGCTAAAAACTTTCCTGTAATATGGAAATATTTATGATTGTACTGGTATTTCATTTTGGATAAAAATTAAATGTTTCAAAGTATAAATTTTTGATACATAAAGCTTTTGTGATTATCAATGGATATAATAATTAATAATGAATAAATGATATAATGATAATAAGTGAGAATTAACACTGCAATAATTCTAATTATTTATTCTATGCTAATTTTCTATATAATCAATTTTTTTGAAAAACTCGAACATAATCAATCGATGATTTATATGCCTAATTATAAAATGATAAGTTAAAAAGATATGATACAATGTGATAGAAGGAAGGAATCAGTTGTGTGTTTGCTGCTGGAAATATAAAATAGTAGAAACAAAACTAATGAGACGTGAATGTGTCCACGTTTTGACGTATGCTAGTGTGAATATTTTTGTTGGATAAATATAGTGTAAGCAATATGGAATAAAAATGAAGGGATCACATTCATCCCCTGTAATTTATTACAAATAATGAAATATCATTGGAAAATGATAATTCAGAAAGGGAATACACTGATATCATCAGTGGTTGTGTTTTTGATAAATGTGTAGCAGATAAGGAAAGTATAAGCGCATTTGTTCAGATCTATTTTACAATGCTAACATGATCCTTTTATCTCTTAAAAGAGAGGGAAAGAGAGGACCATGGTTGTCTTTATTCCAACTGATCTGGCAAAGATGAGTAAATTATTCAACAAGAAGTCATTTCCACATCATATCCGGTTTCGTAATTTCTATCATAAGCAGGAATACTCGGAACAGTTGAAAGAAATGAATGAGAATGGGAAGGAAAAATGGATGTGATAGGAGTGGGGTACTGATGATATGTTATTGATGAGGACAGAGGATGGGATATCAATGTCTTATCTATCAGATAGAAAGACAGAGAGAGGAGAGGTGTAAAAAGATGAAGCTTTTTAGAAGTCAATTATATAAGGCTAGTAAGGAAGAGGAGAAAGAATAAGATGGAGGAAGGATAGGATATGGGATCATTTATTCAACTTCTTCTCTTCACTAAACAGAACTGCCTTACTTATCCTTCCATATTGCATTATCATTATTATTATTATTTAACAAATGCAACAATGTGTAGTTTGAATGCAATTGGTGATGTTGATAATAATTAATGATAATGATTCTCAGCTAATAATAACAATAACCATTCATTTGCATTCAATTTAAACAACTTCTTCATTTACATTTTTCACATTTCAATATTGTCCCTGAAGTATGTCACGACGATACACTCCTCAACTCACTCATGCATATCTATCGTAACCATTCAAGATGACATTGCGATATTAATTAATTGTTATTGACAGATATTGACAGATAATTTTGACAGATAAATTATATTTGACAGATAAAATATTGACAGATAATGTTGATTTTGATCTTTCAGAAAATGTTTAAAGAGCTGTATCAAAGCTTTATTTTTAATCAATTTTTGAATTCCCTAGGAAATGGCAAAGTGATAAGCCTCCACATTTCAATGTAATTTTTGCATCACTACAATACTAATGATTAATAATTATAAATCCAAAAAATGAATGATTCCATGACTATGTCACATTTTGTTCAGTCAAATTAAGATTCAACTTCTTTTGTATCTAATTTTATTTACACAATGGCATTTCTATGTAATTTACGTACATATTTTATTTGCAATAATTTCCCAATTTATTTACACAAATATAATATTACTGTTCAAATTGCAGAATCATACCCTACATTTATTTACTGCACATCACATGTGATGCTTTACAGTTATCGCCATTCTCATCTGAATTAACATATGATACTGAAATGTATCCAATTTAGGATCATGTGTATGTGGAAAGCATTTCAATTTGCTTTAATACATGAAAAATTAAAGCAGTATGAGAAGCCAAAGCTTCATTGTACAACGAATATTTTATTACCATAGAAAATTAGGAATTACACGACACTGCAGGAAAGCTTTAAAGATTTCAAAAATGGAACTATCAATGTTACGAAGCATAAGAGAATAATGAAACAGCAACAATTATAATATAGTTGCAAACATGCAAATTTCAATAAGACACAAACATAAAAGCTTATCTGCCACGATACGAAATCTTTTCTAGAAGGCTGGAAATTTATTGCTTTGTACTAAGCTAAATTTTTGAGCTGCTGATCGTGGATTTTGGAGATACAGAGTTGCTTTTCGTTTAGTACTAAAAAATCAAACGTGTTGATGTGATCTGTTTATTCTGATTTTAGTCAGATCGATAAAAAGATAAGGAAGTTGTACTTTCGGCTCGTTCATCAAGTATCAAGGTAATAGCTGCTAAAAAAGCGGGAATTGAATTTCTCCCTTGCAGATATTCACGAATCTGTGCTGTCCATTGTGTCGCATAATCTGTTTCCAATAAACTAACAGTTTTTCCATAATCAAGCACCTAAAAAAATGAATATAATTAAGGTTACATTTGGCAAAAATGTATGACAGATCTTGATTTTACTGCTTAAATTTAGTTGACTAAATGGAAAATTTCAAAATCTTCAATACAGAAATTAAACGACTCAGTCTTTAAATTATGAAAAACAGATCTAAAATAATAACACAAATTCTGCATGCAACTGTAGTCTGAGATATCGAAGAATTATAGAACGTGACCTTAAAAATAAAATAATTTCCAGGATCAAAAATGCTTTCAACTTGTGCCAAATCATCTTCCTTCATTTTTATTTGTAATCCAGAGAGAGCAGTCACGAAAGCGCGATATTTCTTAACCAAATCACTCTGTATTTTTAGAGCTCTTTCCTTCTCTTTCTCTGCCTTATGTAATTGGAATTGCAAATCTGAAAATGAATTTGCTTCCAATAATTATATTTACGTTTACAACAGCAAATATAGCATCGGTATGAATTATTATCCTTTTAAACTCTTTGTGCTCTCCTCTTTCACTAGCGTAGACTACACTGTGTATAGCGTACAAATAGCTTTTCGTAAAACAATTTAAAATTACTCCAAGGGAAATGAAAAAAGTTAGTCTCTTAAAATTTTCTGAAAATTTAATTTTTCGGGGTGTTAATCATTTATAATAAAGTGTGGTATATAATTATACAAGAAACCTTGCAATATAATCATTTGTGTGGATGTAACCTAATTGTTATTAAACGTAATAAATAATCATTCACTTACCTGCTAATTGTTTCGCCATCTCAGCACGCTGCTTTTTCCGTAGTGTAGCTACCAAATTATCGTTATCTTCATTCAAAAATGACAAAGATTCGTTCTGAAAAAAATCACGAGAAATAAGAGAACGTTAAACTGATACACTTTTCATAAGAGAAATAATGCAATTTTGCAGAACTAATAAAAAAATTGTATTTGATGATACCAATTTTCGTTTTTTGTTAGTTTCAAATTCTTTGTATTCCTGATGTGCTATGTGTAAAGGATTCATCCTCATGTGTAAAATTCTGGTAGATGGATCCAGCAATTCCTCCTGGAACGGTACTTTTTTCAAATAAGTTAAGCTTGAACCTTTGTACAATTTGTTTTCAATCACTCTGCTTCAATGCTAAAGAATTATATGAAATAAAAACTTTTTCTAAAAATAAATGAATTAACAATTGGAAAAAAACAGCAAAAATAGGATGCACATTGAAGGATTAGAGGAAGTCCTCCCCAATAAATCCTAATACAACATTTTTGTCTCTCTGAAGGTTTAATGGGCCAGAAAAAGACGTCAAACAGGAAAAACATACGTATTGAACAAGTTTCTTTTTTAGCTCACTGATTTCGCTTTCATATTTTTTTAAAACTTCTGCGTCATTTTGAATTATGCCTGTATTCTCTCCATTTCCGGTATTTAGTTTATCTTTCATATTTTCCAAATTCGTTGACCTGCATTAAGAACTCAGAGTTTTCATTAAGTTTTTAAAGAAGAACTTTCTAGGCAATAACAACAAAATTCAACTGATTAATAATTGCAGTTCACCCACAAAATCTGATTGATTTGCAACTGCTCTTGCAACTTCTGTGACTTCCAATCCAGTTCCGCTTGTATCTCATCCAATCTAAAGTGAAGCTTTTTGTTGTGTATAAGTTTGTATATTTCTGTTCTTCTAAATAACAAAATATTAAATTTCGGTAACTTTTTCTTTCGTCTGAATGCATTAAGAAGAAGTAACTAACTTCGTTTGACACTTTAATGTTAAATCAATAATTCTACGCTTCTCTTCCACCGTGCCATCGTCTGTAATTATTTTTGATGCAGCCATTTCTTTAATACGTTCATTCTCTTTCTAAAACAAAAGAATTTCTGTTAAACATATTACAGTTTACTATTACTTTTTTTATTTCAAATAATACAGCAACATAATGGCTGACTGCTCAACATGTGGCAGTAACTGTAAGGAAATTGTAAGGAATCTGTCCTACGAAGATGCTCATCTAAATAATTAACGACTTGACTTTCGGTGATTTTTCCAGGACTTTTTTTAATGGAATTTATCTTCATCAGTCGCATTTGTTGTCAAAAATTTTGCTTGAATTATGTTAGAAAGATATCACAATAAACTTCTGTTATATACTAATTCAAGAGCACAACTATGCTTTTTGAAAAAATTATCGTCTGATGCGTGAGAGAAAAGAGATGTTATATTTTTGATATCGACATAGCTTATCGATTATCCCTAACATATGATTAGATAAGAATGGTTTCTTTAAAAAATATCTCTAAATACAAATGTACAACTTACTACAAGACAATCATTCATTTCGGTCAGAATTACCAGTCGATTTTCCAAACTCGTTTTTTGCGCTTCTTGCAATTCGAAATTTTCCAACTTATTTCTGTCGATAATAGAAATTAATTTTTTTCAATTCAAATTATCATTCTTAATCATAATAAACCACTAATCACCGACTCCTTGAGATTTTACAGAAAAAAATCCAACCTCGTTTTTCTTATAAACAACATTAAAAATCTGAATATAAAATGAAACGAAAAAATCGTAATCAAATAAAGATAGCAATCACACCTGGTCAACTTTAACTGTGTAGTTAAGAAAAATTTTTCATTCTCCAGTTTTGCAATTTCATCTGCCATTCTCAAACATCTCTCAGCATCACTATTTTCATTATCAGCCAACGGTTTCACACTTACACTTGGTCCAGCAACCGCTATAAATCCAATAAATATGTATTTCAATTAGATTTTTAAAAATTTCTTAAATAAAAAATGTCAGACAAAGAAGATATAAACCGACAAGGATTTTATCCAAGGAGATAAAAAAAATGTAATATCCAGATATAAGAAATCGAAAATTTTACAACTACTGACTATCAAATCGATATGCAATTTCTATACATCCTGAGCTTTGAACTCACGATTCGGTTACCTGCGTAAACTGTCTTTTGTATGGATCGCAACATCCAATCGTCTGTTTGCGTTTCTGCATTCATTACCTCCGGTTTCGGTTCATCAAGAAATGAAAAAGGAGGTTCACATGTCTTCAGAGGATCTAAAATGCAGTTAGGAAAAATAGATTGCTGGATGAATACTTCCAAAAAATCTTTCTAATAACATTTGAACGATTACACCTGAATAAATTTAAAACACTATACGAATCTGTGAAGTACATAAAATGTGTTAAACTTTCCTAAGCACAAAAATCAGAGATTTTGTATGCCAAAATTAAAACAAAATACACCTGGAGGACTTTGCAAAAACGATATTATGGTTTCAAATTTGCTTTGTTTATCCTGTAAACGACAAATTTCAGTACCAGAAATATGGAGTCTAAACATATGGACATAGGCGATCCTTTCTTTTCATTTAATCATTCAAATATAGAAGTTAAGAATGCAAAAGTGGTTCCCGTCAGCAAAATATATAGAAAGTTTTCCCAAGATTTAACTACATAACCTCACGTTCCTTTTTCAATAGTTGATGCTGAAGATCATCAATATGCTGTTCGAACATCTTTCGTAAGCTCTCCACTTCACATTGCTTATCACACAATTGTTTATTCATTTTTGTGACAGTCTTCTTTAAAGTCTCATTTTGCAATCGATGTTTTTTAACTTCCTCTTCCGCAACGCGAACCCGTACCAAGAGATGTCGAACTAAAGTATGAATAATATTGTCATAGTAAGAGATAAAGTACGAGCAATATATAAATTAAAAATTTTAGTAGGAAAAGTCAAATTAGACTCAATTGTATCGTGCTGATTTTATTAGGAATTAACAAAATTTCAACTTGTTTTATGTGAAGTGAATAATATTTAAAAGAGTAACTTCCAATATGCAATTCAAATCTTCTCGGAAATTCAGAAAATTTACCAACTACTTATCTCATATTTATGTAATACCTGATTCAGAGTTCCCTCGTTTGTAACGGCGACCGAGCAAATCTTCAGGATTAGTAGTAATATGTCCTGTTGGGCTATGTCCATCTTCTACAAGTAATTCAAATATCAATTCCAACAGTTTATGATGAGCAGAATCAGAAATTTTGAAAGAGTTAACTTGAAAATGGTGAAGGTGAAACATGAGCAATATTAACAATGATATGAAATAAATAGTAATTATAATACCTTCATCCAACATTGTCTAGAACTGAATCGTCCTCTTCCAAGAGAAGTAACTGTGAAGCTCCAAGAGCTGAATACGTAAATGTATGATTTTATCCCAAGGGCAGACTCGACGTATCACAACTTACGCAAACGATTTCCTGCGCCCGAGACTGCAACACAAGTGCACTGAATGAAAATCGCTCTCCCACTCCTTTTGTAGCTATAAGGTCATCCTTACTTTCCTTGTTGAAACACCTCTCATCTCATACTAATCGCTACTGACCAAACAGTAATACCAACACCCATGATAGAATTATTTACTTTCATTCCACCTTAATTCTATATGAACTCTCTTTGTATTAATCATTCAATCAATTATGTTTTTCATGATTAATGATCGTGATGGTATTTTCACATGAACATATATTTATTTGTTTAATTTACGAACAGTGGCAATAAATAAATAATCGACATCAATCATTTCAGCATATCATCATTCCCCGCAATCAATAATGGATAATAGTATGCAAATTTCATGAAAAAAAAGAAGCGTTGGCATACATCGATGGCATGCATTCAAATAGTCGTTATTTGCATCTGACAGATACATTTCTAATTGTATAGAATGGCGCAAAATGCAATATTTTCAAAAAAAGCCTTTCATACATATATACATGATGTAGAAGCACAGGTGGTGATGACTAGTTTTGAGCCAGAAAGTGAAAAATATACAAAGGAGCAAATATTCCTGTGGAGGGAATTTGGATAATTTATCTCTTGATGAGGTATGAATGTAAGAAAATAATTTTGAAATTTTAAACAGAAAATTTTGCCTAACGTATTTGTTCAATTCTTTATGTAGTGCAATTATATAGGCTAATTTCGCTTCTTTTGTTTTCTTTTTTCAGCAAAGAACCAAAGGAATAAATTAGAAAAAAATTTAAACTATGCTAATTTATGCTAAATGTTAAGAATCGTTCTCGACACATATACACACATACCGGGAATTTAGAATTTTATAAAGCACAAAATATTCGCTACACGTAATTGGACGAAATTAAAATGGATTTGAATTAGCTTCAGTAAGTCTTCGTGATGGTATTGCTAATGACATGTCCAGACTAGGCTTTATTTGACGAGGGCAACTCTGTCGAGCAGAAATATTTCGAGATAAATAAATACCATAAGGACCGTATGGTTGTACCACGACTGTCGACACTTCTCTGATATCTTTAGATTGCTCAGTTATTGATGTTTTTTGTAAACTTTGTTCACCTGGCTGATTCTTTACCGATTGATTTATCTTAAATAAGCGAGGAATTGGATATGACGATCATAATTTTTCTTATGCTTTTCGGCATTTTCTACATGTGATATATTCATTTGCCATTTCACATTTATGAATGATCCAAACAAGTCAACGAAAACTATCTGTTTCCAGGAAACTTAAATGGA